AAAAGGTCCTCGAAATATGACTGACTGCTTTCATCTCAAAGTAATCCTTACTTCACCTAAGAAGGTAAGTTCCCAACAAATACCATCTTAATAAAATATCACAGATATTATATAAGTTCGCAGTTAAAGTAATTCCAACTTTAAGACAAAACGAAGAGTTTGAACATTAAACCTTTCTAAATTTTATTTCTATACGTTTAAAATGAGCTGAAGTTAAGACGTAGGGAGGCGCAAATACATGACAGCAAATGAGTACAGCAACTAAAAATGGAGTACGAATAATTGCTGGGTTATGCCAAACCTAATACCAAATTACGCGCCAAGTGAGCAAACCTTTATTGAATAATATATTGTTACATTCAAGTGAACATTAATATATTACATTTATACGATTACATTGGTTAGTGAAGTGACATTTTGTCGAACTATATATGTAAGCAATTTTATTATTTTAGTAGAAGTAACATTTTTCTCCTAGAGTGATTAAAGAATTAGTTTTTCAGAACCCCAAGTATGACAAGTCTATTGCGAAATCAATTTTATTTTACGAACTTTGCAGAGTGGGTAATACAAACACATCTATTAGGTGACAAAACCCACATATTAGTCAAGCAATGAGTAACGTAGCAAACGCAAAAGTAGGCTAACCAAGAGGATGTACAGTCAACATCGAGTACCAATTTAGCCATCCACACTCTCTAATCAGCAAGAGTTCCTTTGGTGGATCATTTGTATCGCAAAAACACCAGGGATCTTCTTTCCACCAATTTTTCCTAACGATTATAATATAATCTAACCGAAATAGTAAATGACCTGATATATATATAATAACCGTACAATTAAAGAGGGATAGTCGGTAGTGAATACATCAAAAAGAATCACTGACTAATAATGATCTTGAGCCAAATGTGCCCTAGTGAAAGCTCGTTAATCAGATGAAGGGTATCTAAGCTGAATTTTCAAAATCGCTATATTTTGATGGATATTTCTCAACGACAGTATGGCTCGGGAATGATCAAATATCCGTTATTACATCCATTTCTCATACACAACATATTTTACTTTAACGAAATGTTCCTGAGCCTGTCTCTTGACTGTGCAATAAGATTTTGATTTGTAAAAATCTCGAAACGTGTTTGTTCAATATAAATAAATTTAGAATCACTTTTTTATTTAAAACGCATCACTCAATCATAATTTTCAGTTAAAAAACTGAGAAACAGTTCTAACAGAAAATCACAAACTGATAGAATGTAATTAGCGTCCTTTAGATTCTATGATCCAATTTGTCGCCCTGATGCGACTTTTTATGCTGAAAATAGAAAGAAACCGGCTATATAGTAAAGACGATTCATACAGCTTTATTTTAATGAGTTTGTTTTTGACGAATTCATAACGGACCACTCTGTACTCCAAGAACATCGTCAACATCGCTTTATGCTTTTTACATTATAAAGTGTTATATATAATGTTAGAGTAATGTTATCAAAATTAGGGAATTGTGAAACACCGTTAGTTTCTTTTGAAACATTTATTTGATAGCTAAACTTCGTGCTTACTGAAACTGGACCATGGTGTATTTTTTGCCATGTTATCCTTTCTATATGGAAAGATATACTGCTCGTGTTGCATAAGCAAAGTATTCTAAATTGAGACAAAAAAGCATATTCAGCTAGTTTAGCTAGATTTTAGACTGCAGAAGGTAACAGCAAGTACTTGTATTAATATTTAGAAAATAATAAATTGTATACATATATGTATTTCCATTTTTCCACAACCCAATAGGGCAATATATCATCTTCCACACCTTAAAAATGTTCAAACATAAAGCATATCAATAATAACCCAAATGTTTCAAGTTAGACAATCATTGAAAAGATAAAATTCCAAAAGAGGAACAGGACTTTGGCATACAGCTCTAGACTAGAATATCGTATATCAGAACCATCTCTAATGTCACTACCACTTGATACCTACTACCATATACAGGATAACCCGCATTGTGCACCACAAAACTGAAGACTCGATTATACTATACATTTAAGGATAACAATATTTATATACATACTAAAGGTACCGTTCTATGCCAGGACAGCGACAGGAGACCACGATTGGTGACCGACACACAAATCTAGTAGTCTAGCACTAACACTGAAAATCTATCAGTGTCACTATAAAACACTAAAGTTTAAATTTAAAATAGGATGAAAAAGCCGTACGATGCATAAAGCACACGTCTAGTATTGCTTAACGTATTCTTTAAAAATATAATTTTTCGATATTTCACCGTAATAGTGACAGAGAAAGTATCGCAAACCGCAGACGTACTATTCGGAATATACCTCATCTAAAAACAGACAAACCAGTTATTTCCTGGAAGGTACTTTTGCTCTTACTGATAGAATACATAGAGAATGGTACTTATCTTTCACTGGACCTGCGCCTTTGACGCCTTGCTTCAAGTGAAAAAGCTCAATGCTGTCTGTGAGACATGGTCATTATGCTCAATAACGTAGCCTCTGTAGGACTTCCAAGCATGAACGGAAAAGCGAATGAGGGCCTAAACGGTACTCTTACGTAGTAATGGAGGTACCTGACGGGAACCTCGTTGTTGAGGCATTCCTTGGGTTCGGAGCATGTTCACAGGTATGGGAGTCGGAAACGGAACGAAATGCATGCCAGGTCTAAGTCCACGTAATTGTGAAGTTTGTTGTTGTGAGGTACTAGCAGCTGTAGCCCTTATACGTAGTGTGATGGGGTAGCTGGGGCTAAAGAAGGACGGGAAGTGGTTGATGGCATTGGCCTTGCTGGAGACGATGCTACAGACGTAACTGGACTAGCGGGAATAACAATAATACTTGGTGTAATAGTAGTTGTCGTGGAGGTTTCAGACGTGACTTTCATCCGATTTATATCTAGCAACATCTGCCTTTTTTGGAGGCGCAATGTTTAGGAAGGAGAAGCTTGTTCATCAGTCAGTGCATTACAACTAAGAAGCTCTTTCACAACATATGTGACAATACAGTAGACATAAAAGCATGTTTTGCCTAGAAATGGAAGGACTAGATACGACGAAGGTTTATTTGGTCCACATCTAACACAAATTTTTTACTCCAATTTACAAGCACATCGTTTGTACCAGGAAGACCCTTCATACACAAAGCTAGCCGCTTTGGTTGATTTAGTAACCCAGGCGACTACAATACAGAATTATAGATGACATAATTTACACAGTGAACAAAGAAAGAATATTAAAGTATTAAAGTGTTGAGATATTGGGGACGTGGATAGTACTGAGTACGGAAGCCATAAGCTTTAGATGGTCGTCAAAATTTATTCAGCATCCAAAAATTGAGTACGTGCACCTGCTAGGTTATTTCAAATACAATTCCAAATCTCGAGCCAAATGAGCAAGCCTTTATTGAACAATATGCTGTTACATTCAAGTAAACATCAAATGGATACATTAGTTATACGACTAAATTGGTTAGTGAAGTGTCATTGTCGAACTATACAAGTGATCGAACCAAAGACTCGTACTGAAAACCACACAATAAAACAGTTTGCCAAATTTAGATAAACGATGAGAGTAGTAAACAAAAAACGCTAAAATTTTACACGGCAGTGGCCAAGAATATCAATAAATCTGAGTAATAACATTCTTATTTTTCAAATATTTTTAATCTCTTACTATTTCTTTTATTATGCACCTTTTACCTGTATATACGTGATTTTTGGTATATCAACTCCTTCTGACAAATCCTACAAGCAGTTAAAATAAATTACTCAACTGTGAAAACGTACGGGCAAGAAAGCAATTCAATAATTTTAGATGTAACATTTTTCTCCCACTGTGATTGAGGAATCATTCTTTCAGAATCCCAAGAGCATGCAAAGTATGACAAGTCTGCTGTGACTTCAGCTTTGCAGAGATTGAGTGATACAAATAGCTACATTTGATGAGAACACATTACGAGTATATACAACATATCAACTAACGTAAAAGTTGGCAAATCTAGAAGATATTTAGAGTCGACATCAAGAACCAGCTAAGCCTTCCAGGCTCCCAGCAGCAGTTCTCTTGGTTGTAATCTGTGCCGTAAAGACAAGAGATCTTTGCATCACTTTTTCCTAACAATTATAATATAACCTGACCTACAGAATAAATTACCCGATACATATCCTAACACTCCTACAATTACAGAGGATAAACAGGAATGAATGTGTCAAAAATAATCATAGTTTAGTCACATGAAAAAAATAATTCTATACCTTAGTAAAACGAAGCTCTTCAATCAGATGCACACTATCGAATACCGTGTATGAACCGCGAATATAAAGAAATGCTTCAAAACGTTTCGACATACCACTCACATTACATGGTTTTTAAAGTATTTGGAAACCAAAAAACATTCCTCATCTACAGTCTAGCAAAGATTCAATTGGTATAAATTGACGATAAACTTATATCCATAAGTGAAGCCTGAAACTAGATACATTGCGCAACGTTTTTTTGACGGAAAAAAAGAAATATATATAGAGAATCAACTGACAACTCATTGTAGCCACATTGGACAAGTTTAATTCACATAACAGTATTTGCCAATGTCAAATGAACAAATCTTCATTGCACTACTTATTACATTAAAATGAATCTTCTAGAATCTAGACATTCGTACGCTGTCATCAGATTACACTAACCTTAATCCTAATGTGGTATAAGGGAAATAATATTCATCGAAGAACAACATGCGTAAGCACAAGCAAAAAGCGATTGTATAACGAGCGTTTTTCCCAGTGCAACATTAATGAAGAACTGTGTTTTAATTGATTCGTTCAGGTTTATTGAAGTTGAGCAACCATTGCATGTATATGCAATGTGCAAATGGTGTTTCGAAGAAAATATTATACACCCAATAAATGATTCTAGTGAGCCATAAAGCTCATGCAACTTAAATTTGATAATAAATAATACTGGTTAAAAGGAATAGTGAAAACCCGTTAGTTTCCTTTGGAACTTTTATTAGATAGCTAATTTCATGCTTACTGAATCGAAGCCTTAGAATATTTTTGGCATATTACCTTTTCTGATGGTACATGGTGAGGTACGCTATTCAGAATAAGACCAAGTTATCCTAAATTCTTTGAAACAAAACAGCATATTCAGGCTTCAATAAAGAAAAATAAAACGTTAATAACACAAAGATGTAGGAATAAAAATAAGTGAAATCACTGAGACTGCAAATATTATTATATGAGAAAACGGAACATAGTCAAACATGGCTGCGGCAAGGCTTCACTTTCATGATTTTTCTTTCACAGAAGGCGAGTGAACAGCAGATAATTGGAAAACAAATGTATTATAACAGTAATCTGACTCACATTTTATTCCACCATGCAATTTTTACAAAAAACAATGAAAAAAAAACTACATAGCGCAACGCCAGAGCTCCTTAGTAATTCTGAAACCACATACACAATACACATCTAAGCAACCCTAGATCCTTTCTTTTTCTTCGTCAAAATTGTCATCTTCATCTATTACGATGGAGACAATATTTCTTTCTACAATAGGCTCACACCCGTCTTCCAAAATGTGATCCTCATCCTCTAGTTTTCGGTTTCACATTCAACAAGTCCACTTTCGTCCACTGTCTTATCATTGATATCTCCATCAAAACTAGTATCACCTTTTCCTTTATTAGCTCCATCACATGAAATATCCATCTCTCTAGCTTTAGTTTCTGCATCACCTTTTTTCTCATCAATTTTGTCATCCATAATAGCCACGTGCGTAGCTTTTACGTCTTTAGGAGCTGATTCTATTGGAGCAGGTATGTAAAACGTCCCAGTAGACCCTACTTTGGACGAGATAGGTCTTCTGTATATCATACTAGGCAACACTTCTAAGCCAGATGAGAATATTGAAACAATTTCTTTCTTGTGAAAAAAGATGTATTTTTTCTGGAGACAACTGAAACATTAACCCGTAACTTTTGAGGTTGAGTCTATCAGACTCCGGCAGATATTTTTTTCGCTATAACTACTTTTTGTATCAAGTGACAACAATGTACGCCTATTTACCTTTAGTTTGGATATGTAAGTCCTGTTTGCCACGGTGGTTACAGATCTACCTGAAACATGTGTTTGTGTGCTTGTGTTTTTATACGTCAGGGAGTCTCACGGACTCCACCTCAGTCTTATCGTAAGTTTTTGTGGTTGATAATTTGAATGTTTGTTTTTACATATATGATATTTTAGAAGGAATTACGTGCCAGTACATTAAAAGGGACTGTTACAATAAACGGTAAAGACTATAAGAGTACGCTCACGATGGTATAGCAGTGAAATTGTGAGTAACCACGACAGCGACAGCGAGCAGACTCCGGATGATGACGAACAATTTCTGCTCGACGATGATATAACGCAGAAGTCATTTTCAAGTGAAAATAGCTTTAACGATTCGACTACAGAAAGATCACACTTTATGAAAAAAAAACATAGATGGTCCTTTATGGAATTAACAAGAAATGTGCGTACAGTCAGCCATAATATAATTCTTACGCTACTTGGTCTGAAAGACAAAGCTCTAAATTCAGGACATGAAGCAAATCCAGTTAAAATTTTGTTCATTCAAAAAATAATAGCCATTATCGTAACTTCTACGAACAAAAAATTGGAACAAATGCGTCAAAAATACAGCGGCCCAACACAACTAGATATGAAGAAGGCTAACGATAATCATCAAATTTGATGTTTATAATAAAATTTATAACAAACCAAACCTAAATACATACTATAAATAGACTCCAGACTATACCATAAAATTGAAATAAAACAGGTACTAGTTCGTATTCTAAAAAAATACTCGGGAGTCTGAGAGACTCCACATCACACGCAACGTGACAAAAGTGGCACCTCACCGGTTATGGGTTAACTCGTTTTATACCAAAAATTATTCAAGCCAATATTCAGAATATCCATCAGGAAATGCTCAAATCGAGCTAAACTTGAAACACTATGTTATGTTCGTTCATACCACTTGACTATGGAGTGGATTTTTGGCACCCCCTAAAAGCACACCTTATTCGACACGGCTATTTCTGGCCCACGTCATCTAACAGACCTGTCAGTATTCATCATACCCTACTGCGGTCTGCGAGACATGCTCATCGCCCTTAATAACGCAGGATCTGTAGAACTTCCGGGCATGAACGGACGAGGCATCGGAGTTCTAAATGGAATTCTGTGTAACGCATTCATCTGCGAAGGAATTCCTTGTCCAGGTACCCATCGCTGCTGAAAATGATACGGCGGTACAGGAGCTGCAAATGGCATAAAACGCATTACAGGGCTGGGACCACGAAACGGTGTAGCCTGTTGTGATGTAATAGCAGTTGGAAGCCTTGTTAATCTAACAAAGGGCGATTGATTTGGTGGAGCTAAAGTAGAACGAGGTGTAGCTGCAGGCATTGGTCTTCCTGGAGGAGATGCTACAAATGTAACTGGACTAGCAGGAGTCACGATAATCTTTGGTGCAGCCACTTTGGTAGACTGAGATGAATGTGCTGCAAAGCTCGCAACTCTAATGGAGCCTTGTTTAGGGTTGGTGCTGATAGCACTTTTCGTCTTTTTTGTAATACCAGAACTATCACTTCGTCTGAACACGACAGAATCTTGATGATCTGAAGTGGTCAAATGTTCTTCAAGTCGTTCAAGTTGGACCGAAAGACTGTTACGTTCAGTCGAATCCTCTAAGATAACAACATTGTCAGAATCTGTTAAGTCAAATGATAACGCAGCTTCTGTATCAAGGGATGGTCTGTTCTGAGCATCAGGCCTAGAGGTGTCCTCAATAGTTATTATATCCGACTGAATAGGTTGATTTCCTGAGGACCCCCCTGAACAACCAGGTGGTTGGATACCTTCAGCTTCAGTTCGCGACGCTTTTTTCTGTTTATTAGTCTTAGTACTTTCTGTGAATACGACTGTTGATATATTTTGTGGCACATCTTGATTTTGATCGTCTCTTGACGTTGGTTCTCTTCGCACACAAGACGCAGAAGGATCTTCTATGAAGGTTAGATCTGGATCAGAATCAAATAATGAAACTTTATCCTGTTTGTCAGACCTGTAGGTGTCTTCTAAATATATTACATCGTTCTCAGAATTGCCCTCTACAATCATTACATCTGAGTCAGTATCAGTAGTGGACTTTTTTGTTATACCCTGTATTTTTTCCTGTGAATGACATGTAGGAGCATTGTCTATGAAGGTTACATCAGAATCAGTATCGCTTGACGATGGTTGATTCTGTTTGTGTGCTATGATTGTTAAATCAGGCTCAGTAATATGTTTATCCGTTGACTTATTTGGAAAGATTGGTGCTGGGCCATTTCCAGAATCATTTGGCAGAACGTTTTTCTGTTTAAGACATTCATCTAATTCATTTTCAGCAAAGGGGATTCTTGATGTTCCCTGATATGATGTATGTACTTGAGCAACTGTAACAACTAACGTTGCTTTTTTATGCACTTCAGGATTAGGAGAATCCTCTACGATGACCGCATCAGTAGTAGTAACCTTCTCCTTTGATGATACTTCTAGCAAGTCGGGCGATAATCTATCTTCTGTAATAGGCGATACTATTTTCTGTTTTTCGGACTGAGAAGCATCTTCGATAACAATGGGATCAGTTTCAACATCGGTAATACATTTCTTTAACAACTTTTTCGGTGGATGATGTGCTTCTAGAGAACGTTTCTTCAAAGCTGGTTCTGATCTGGTTATTCTGACATCTGATATTACTCGAACCTTACTAGATTTCTTCAATTTATCTGAAAACAAAATTATTAGTCCCGTGATCTTTAGTTGTGCCGATACATCAAATATTAGAGTTATGGGTAATCACATTACGACATACGTGAACCTTAACGTTAAACCTGTTTAGCATTTAACATTATAATGTGTATTCCCGACTATAGACATGACTTTGTTGTGGCCATGCATGTCTCTATCATAGCCTAAGCTTGCCAATGGTGTAGAGGAGACATAAGCTTTGGTCGAAACATGCAGATGTCCTACGACTGATCTGTGTGATCCTCAATGCGCGTCCCCTGGACGTTACTATTTAACTTTATGACGTATGTATCAAATTAAAAAACGTTATGTTTATTAAATCATGAAGTAGTATTTCTCTCTCTAGGTAAATAATTGAAACAAAAAACATCTAGGTAAACAATTGTAACCGTATTCTGTCAATTTCATTTTTTGTTTAAAAACTAATCTTTATATTTCGGAATATTTCAGAACGAGTGAGTTTTGAGAAAAGCTCCTCATGCAGTTATTCTTGTACTAGTACGTCAATAATCGATACAATGTTTGACAATGGATTTTGATGTTAACAACAGAGAAAGCATTTGTACATTAATTCAATTGGATAGACCAGCGCAAATCAAATCGGCTGTCTGTTGCAATCAATAATACGAGTTTGTCACTTTGATACCAGGTACGTATAGCACGTTATTCGCTCACCAGATAATGGCTCACTTCTCAAACTAAGTATTTAACGCACTATTTGATGATTTTGTCATAAAAGCATACTCAAAATATATTTACGTGAAAAACGTCATAACTAAGGAGTTAAGAATGAGCAATCTCAAATATAATACATTTTCACTAGGCATGTTACACACGTAACATGAACTAGAATTCAGTAAAGCATGTGGCCTTACTACTTGGTAGGTGCGCGGACTGCTCTAAAGGCATTTGAGGTTATCACGACCCGCTTTTCACAGGGTAAGTGCTCTCCTGCAGCTCTTGAAAATCCTGACGGAAATTACAATTATCTGAACAAATGTGTCAACAGTGTATTAAAATTACTTTTTCACAAATATCATCCAATAAACCCCATGCCCGAAAAGTTCTTGTCGTTCCAATTAAGCCTTGGGAACCAACTAACCCGCTCGCAAATCGCTTGCGACTCTTCCTGATTTTCCATTTACCTAAATTGTTTATTGTTTTAATTGCAGCCTGTTGTGAGGACGGAGCACGAATGGCCTACAGTACTCAATCAGTGTTTAATTCTTGTTTTCATTTCTATTCATGACTCCCCATTCATTATTTTTGAGTTTTCGTGAATTTCTAAATACGATGGCACACAGGATGTTATGTTGGCCCACATGAAATAATTAAGTGTAATGAATTATTTGGAAACGTAACCCATGTTTGACACCTATACCACTATCAGCAATTTACTTCACCGACAATCCAAATAGTGTCGGTGGTCAGAATCCACGTTTTACAATAATAAATAATAGTTTGGAAAAACTAAAAAGACACGCTTTTATAGCTAACCAAACCAAAAAGTAGAAAATAATTTTTAATTACAAAGAGTTTATATTAATTTCAGTAGTATATGATCAAACAATCAATCATAATTAACGACCTCAAAATGAAATTATAATAAAATTCAAGTTATTAACAGAATAATTCAATGCAGAGTAAAAAGCGTGGGGTGCTTGATATATTAAATGTTAGAATCATTCTATTGGCAACTATCCGTGAAAGGAGAGTTATGAATGCACCCCTCGCTTTTTACCCTGAATTGAATTATTCTGTTAATAACATAAATTTTATTATAATTTTATTTTGAGGTCATTAATTATGATTGATTGTTGGCCCATCTACTACTGTAATTAATATAAACTCTTTATAATTAAGAATTGTTTTCTACTTTTCAGTATGGTTAGCTATAAAAGCGTGTTTTTTTTTTGATTTTTCAACTATTATTTGCTTTTCATTTTTTAGTTCGATTTATCAATTTTTTTGTTTAGACATGTCATGATATTGCATTGACATCGGTCTTTGATAAGTGTGTGAAGTTTCGAATTAATCAAACTTCTGGAAATTGGTGAATATTATGCTCAAAGATTCCGATACTTACATACATACATGCCAAGCTAATTTAAGCGTGTTTTAAAAAAAAGCGTCAAACATTATAACTTTCGTCGTTTGCACTACCACCAGTTTAGACGTTTATCTTAGCTTTAGATTGCTGAACTGAAAGGCTAAGATATTTCTAGATTTCTACTGTTCCATGTCAGCGCTCTCCTATTGTGAAGTTATGTTTTATTTTTGAATTGTAGAAAAGTTCAGGCTGATATAACAGATGATATAAAGCAAAAGCATGGACAATTTGATTCAAATAGATATTTGTAACATAACCTCAAAATAGAGCACTGACACGGGACAATAGAAAACTATGAAAATCAAGGAGGCTATAAAGGCGTCCTACAATAACTGTAGAGACGACTGAAGTATTCATGAACTCTATATCGAGACAGCTCTCAAAGCTTTGTATGTCTGCAGCCTCAGCGCACAAATTGTTCCAGCCTCGTTATTATTTCAGATGATGCACGTATTTTGAAGATCAGAAAGTTAACTCCAATCACCGTTTCGAAATGGATTTTAGAAACTTCAAACTTCGTAGGCAACGTTGCTTAGAAGTTGTTTACGTAAGGTTTGGAAATCAAACAAAATACCTCTGCATACACGATTCAATTGGTATAAATCGCCGTTGATGTCAAACCAGAAACTATATACGTTACGTGATATTTTGTGACTGAAAAGAGTACCCGCTAAACAGAATGTCTTGACAACTCATTGTAGCGACATGTATTGTAAGAAGTCGAATTTAAATAGGTCACAGTATTTACGCTTTGAATCAGAGTAACGAACGAGCTTATCAAGCTGCTGACTTATTCACTAATAATCCAATGATACAAATGTCAAATAAACAAATCTTTATTGAACTACATATTACAAATGTCCATTAGTCAATAATCTTAATCGAAGAACAATCTGCGCAAGCGCAAGCAAAAAGCAATTATATAACGAGCCTTTTTCCCAATACAATTTTAATAAGAAGCTAAGTTTTGATTTATTTGATTCAGGAACATTGGTGCTAAGCAATCATTATACGTATATGGAATGTCCAAATGTAGTTTCGGCGAAAAGGTTATACGACTAATCAATGATTCTAATGAGCTATAAAGCCCATGTAACTTAAATTTGATAATAAATAATTTTGGTTAAAAGGATGTAATTGAAATCAGTTTACAGAAAAATGAGCAAAACCGTCGGAACTTTCATTATATCGCTTACTGAAATCGAACCACAGAATATGTTTGGATAATACCCTCTCTCAGGATATTGGGAACTCGTATACGCCGCTTAGGAAAAAGAGCTCGTGTTACATAAGCAAATTATCATAAACAATTTGAAACACAACGGCCCATTCCGGCTTCGATAATGAAAAAAGGTAACTAACACAAAGTTTGCGGAATAAAATATACGTTAAGTCGCTGAGATCTCCAATATTATCTGCGACAAAAGAGTGTCAAGCATAGGTGCGGCAGGGCCTCACTTTCATGATTTTTGTAGGATAGACGAGTGATCAGCTGACGATGGAAATGCAAAAAATAATTTATCAGTGGTCTAGCTCACATTGTATTCCACCATGAACTTTGTGCAAAAAACAAATATAAAAATAAGTATATGGTGCAACTCAGCAGCCAAGGATCCTAAGTATTATAGAAACCGCATACACACTACATATCTAAACAACCCTAGATTCCTTCGTTTCCTTCTTCAAAAATGTCATCATCTATTTCGATAGAGTCCATATTCGCTTCTATAGCCAACTCACACCCGTCTTCCAAAATATGATCCTCATTCTCTAGTTTATCGATTTCACCTTCAACAAGTCCACTTTCATCCGCTGTCTTATCATCGATATCCCCATCAAAACTAGCATCACCTTTGTCTTTATCAGCTCCATCACATGAAATATCCATCTCTCCAGCTTTAGTTTCAGCATCACCTTTTTTCTCATCAATTTTGTCATCCATAATAGCCACGTTCGTAGCTTTTACGTCTTTAGGAGCTGATTCTATTGGAGAAGGTATGTAAAATGTCCCAGTAAACCCAACATTGGACAAGATAGGTCTTCTATATGTCCTACTAGGGAACGGTGGTCTCAAGTATACCGATTGAAAAGATCTCATCCAAGGATTGCCTCTAGAAACCTCGTATACTTTGGCATGTGGTACTACGGCCTCACCAGATTTTTTTGATCTCATCATCAACTCGGATAAAGGAACGTCGGTGATAGATTCCGTCTTGGCTAAGACATGTGCTTTCACTGGGATGGCTCTTGGTACCTTTCTCATCACGAAAGCTCGGTTTACGTATCTAATCATGAATGGAGGTCTCGGATAGAATGTGTGAGGCGTTAATGGTGCGAACTGAATTCTTGGGGGCGGTTTCACATTCATTGGCGGTGGCATCGACACATTAGGAGGTGGAACAGAAAACTTGTTCATATACTGAAGCACATGTTGAAGCTCTTGGTTGCTCCTGAGACTCTGGAGGGCATCAAGAAATTCCCTCGTAGATTTTTCGTTGGATGCAATCGAAGTTCCTTGTAATCTTAGGTTATCATCAAACTCTATTACCATTGGCTTCTTTTTTGGCCTGTCCGATGAATCTAGCTCGTCAGAACCGCGTTTATTGGTCTCTCCTGTTTTCTTGGCCGCAGCAATCTTTTGATTCATTAAGATGTTTATCTTCTTACGGTTTCGTTTCCGTTGCATTTGTCCTAAAAATACCTTACGTTAGTTTTAAATTGTATCTGACAATAATTGTTAGCTCAGAGTTACGGTAGGCAATGAGGTTTCTTTTCCTCCTTGCAATACCAACTTGAAACTATTTTATCAAAATTGGAAGACATTTCCAGAATATCTAAAAATACTATACTACATCTTTCCATATAAAATTACTTGCTTATGTTGTTGTTCTAAAATAAGAAAACAACATTATTCATAAATGAACCTATTATATTGAGTGAAACAGTACATAATATTTGGACATTTACGTCGCTTGTATGGTAAAACAATCATGACTCACTCTATAAGCTGACAAATCTTTTCAGAATAACGCTTCTGAGCCAGATGATAATATTGAAACGACTTCTTATTGTATAGAATAAGATAAAATTTTTCTTGAGACAACTGAAACATTAACCCGCTTCATTCCAAAAATTATCGAGCCAATATTTAGAATGTGTTGGTTCATAACAAGACGTAAGGTTATGGTAATCACATCACGACATACTATTACGTAAACCATGACGTTAACCTTGCTTGACATTCAACCTTACAGTGAATAATGACTGTACAGATGTGTTGTGGACATGTTCCGATTATGACCTGTACTTGCCACTTGTGCAGAGTGGACCTAGGGTACGGTTGAATCACGTCATCTGTATACTGGAGAAAATACACTAGATCTCAGCCATCAGCTTGAAATAAGAATGAGTGCAAAGTATGTGGACCACGCATAGTGTGAAAGACAAGGGTGTTTCGATGAACTAGCTCACCACATGCTTGCAGGTTATTATTTAACTTCCAATGGCAATTGGACAACTAAACTTTATAATTCCAAATATGTGGGTCTTCTTGTAATCTTTCAGACGAAGCATTTGCATCTCACTCCCATTAAATATACCAGTCCAAGCCAAATCCGCTATCCATTGAATTCATTAATTTGAGTTTGTCAGTTTTACAAGTGGTCCTGTTTCACCCGATAGTGGCTCAAACTAGGTATAAAATGTACTAATTGGTGATTTCGTTACAAAAATGCACTAAAAATATGTTTTACATAAACAAAAACATAGCTAAAAAGTTAAGAATCAATAGTGTCAAGTAGAACATATTTTCATGTGACATGTTACAGGCATAACATGAATTTCAATTCAATCAAGCGTGTGGCATCACTCTTTGCTAGATTTGCGTTAACAACGCCGCCTAGGGGATCGGGATAATGTGGGACTGTTCGCAGGCTACTTGAGGTTAAAAAAAATTGAATTCAAGCTGAAATATCATTTATGGTTTGTCGCACGTTGCCGGGCCTCAGTTGACCCCACATGGCACAGATTTCACCATAGATACCATGCCTATATTCCACTATCAGTAAGTCCCCTGGCAATGCACTCCGTTTCCGGTATATGATGTCAAAACATTTGCACGATTTACTGTAAAAAAAAAACACCCACCATTATCCCTTCCGCTGTTGGCACTATTACCTGTCTGTACTACTGTGTACGTCGCGCACAATTACTCTTCGATATGACCGGCACGACCTTATGCCTGAATTGTCTTGCGAAAATTGATATTCTTTACCTGTACCCTCACGGACCAAATGAAATTATTAAATTATTAAATTATGGAGGAGCGTTCTTAGAAGGTTGAAATTTTTTAAGTAGGCTTTGTGGAGGAGTGTCTGAAACATCCAAGTCGATACATAAAAAACGGTGAAACAACCGGGTTCGTTATAAAAAAAGACTGAAATTCTGACACACATTTATTTCAAATAATATAATTGCTTTGGGTTGTACATAAGAGTACCAAAAGCTTTAAACAAATTTATATTACAATAGCTTTGTTAATAACTATAAGTTCCTAGAAGCGAAAAAAGTTTGGAGAGAATTCATCATTCAAAACTTGCAAATTTTTTACAAATCATGGTATGGCTATGACAGTTCAGCGCTTGGCTAACCACATCAAACTATACAGAGTGGCCCATCCATGTGTTGGCGGAATATTACTCATGAAAAATACATTCTGGAAAATCTATTTATGGGATGTTATACATGACATTTGAGGGCACATTTATAAAATATTGGCCATTATACAGGGTGTCCCAATTTCGACCTACATATCAAAGTTGTGAGTTTTCAAATGGAATGCCTCAGATTGTATTGCATATTTGGATAAACTAATTCAAAAGAAGAAAATTGATATAACATACTATGGGGTTGTGGTAATTAGCTACTGAGATGTAAGGTGTTTTGTCCAGAAAAACCGTCCACTTCGGCAACCCCTCAGTCAGCCATTTTGAAATTCTGGAGTGCTGAATTTTGTATCAAAAAAAACTTACACACCTCAGCTTTTATCTTATTTGTTACTTTTTAGAATTTCAATTTTTGCACATACAGGGTGGTCAAAAACGCAAATTGAATTTTTTCTCAAAAATGTCAAATGCATCACTCTATATATTTGTGTAAGTTTGGATTACATTTTTTATAAGCTTTTTTTGATACTAGACACATAAGGGTTATTAAGGCTATTTTTTCGGTTATTAGCACGTCTTTTATGGAACGGCTCAACTTCCTAAAATATCGCATCATCCTTAGTAACAAATTGTTGTATAGTTACAAACTGTCAAAATTAGCTTTGGGAGCATTATAATAAAACCGTGTTTTAAATGAATTTTTCTAAACAAGAAATGGTGAGTATGGTGCTCGTTTTCGGTGAAGCCCAAAGAAATAGTTTCCTAGCATCTCGTATTTATAAGTAACGGTACCCTAATATGCGACATCCAAGTGGAGCAGTGGAATATAGTAAAAAAAAATGTTTATAAATAATCCAAGTGTCACCAATGAGGGGAATCAGTTGCAGGAACATCCCCATTTAAGTGCACGGCAAATTGGAGCAGAAAGTTATATATGCAGAACTTCTGTCCCAAGGATTATTCACAAGCATAGGTACCATCCATATCACCTATGCTTGCATGAAGGCCTTCGTCATTAGGAACAGCATACGTGTTGTCAACAGGCATAACATGCACTATTATGCGACGGAAAACCCTTACTGGGTTAGGCAAATAGATTTCCAGAATAAATGGAGCTCGAATGTTTGGGGAGGAGTTATTTCTTTTTCGACAACAGATTAACAGGTACAGAATACTTGAATTTTTTGATTGAGCATTTGCCTTTGCTTTTGGAGGATGTCAACCTGCAAACTCGGATACATATGTACTTCCAACATGACACATGCGCAGTATCATAACCGTGTGCGTAACTATTTGGACACCTGGAGTAACAATCGTTGGATCGGTCATGATGGGCCTATATCTTGGTCTCCTAGATCACCAGATATGACACCGATGGACTTCTTTCTATGGGGCTACGTTAAGTAAGAGGTTTATAGATATGCACCATCTACCCCAGAAAATATAAAGGAACGGAAAAGGATGCCTTTCTGAACATGCTGAGGGACGTGCAACGGTCATTTGTCCAAAGACTACGGCTGTGTGTTCAACATGGTGGAGATATTTTCGAGCAGTTTTTGTAGATTAGGTCTTGAGTAGTGATAGTTGTTTGTTTATGTTGTTGTTATAGTTGATTTTCTCTATTACGCTTGAAGCCGATTTATACTGTTCTGATTGTTATTAGTTTTCACGTCAAATCTGTATTCTTAGTGGCAATATGGAACTAGCCCACTGTTTCTCTTTTGTTTCCATGGATATGATTTTTTTCCTTAATTTTGGTTAAACGCTTAATAACTCAAAAACCTAACCTTTTATCTGAATCAAACCTTATAACAAAAAAAAGCTTATAAAAAATTTGCACAAATATACAGGGCATTTGACATTTTTGAGAAAAAGTACAATTCGCGTTTTTTGAATAAAATTTGAGGTTATACGTTTTAAAAAACAAAACTTTGATATGTAGGTCAAAATTGGACCACCCTGTATAATTGAAATTATTTTAGAAATGTGCCCTCAAATGTCATGTATAACACGCCATAAATAGATTTTCCCAAAATGTATTTGTTTATGAGTAATATTCCGTCCACACATGGATGGGCCACTCTGTATTAACTGTCAGATTAAAACTAGGCGTTTGGCATGTGCTTCTTTATGATGTGCAATCGCATATCATACTTCCTTTTGCTCATTTTACCGCAGATACCACACCGGAACTTTGGTTCAACTCCACACTCGTAATCCAAATGTCTACGCAATATGTGAGAATGTTTGTACCGCTTTCCACATCTGGAGCATTGATAATGTCGGGTGTTTGCTAACAGTATACCTCTGATCCTTTTTTCAGCTCCTGAAAATACATGTAGATACAGTATGGAGTGGAATTTTCACATAACAAAATGATATTAACGATAACAGTGAGCGGAAATAGGATCTAACACTAAGCGTATTGTGGCAATGCCACACACCAAATCGAGGGACTATATCTTTGTTCAATTCTTTCAACGAAAATCAGCATCAGATCAATATAATTTAGTACTCATGCAAATTCAGGCAACCTAAGTGAAATACATGTACTCGTATGTATGACTCTCAGCTCCAGATTGTATTCGAGTCGCACACACAAAAGGCTTGAGTGCTATTGTGTTTGTTTCTCTAGGTTATACATACATATATAGTTGTACCCATGGAAGATTGACATTTGACATTTCTGGAATGATAGCCACAAAAAGAACACAGTGTCTTTCAAAACTTTTATTAAGACGGAATACGAATATTATGCCTCCAAAAAATGTATTCTGAATGTTTACACTTTTTTCTAAGAACAAGAAATGGCAAAAATTATCCTCCAAATGTGTGACATAATATGGTCTAGGATGCCATCAAGTTTAGGCATCCTTCATGTCAGATGTGATGAAACTGGCCATATTCTCTGAATTTGACATCTTCACGTGAAATATATATTCACGTTCTAACGGTATACAAATCAAATCATATTGGCTGATCTCGGTAGAGTACCTAAACGATATAAATATGTAATTAGGTCTTATCTCAATATACGAGTCTCAAATATGTGTGAGCCGTAGGTAATATACTGTCTCATTAGAGTATTGTCATTATTGTCTTAGTCAACTTTACGTTACAAATTGGTACTTTTGCCCAGTAAACGCGGCTTTATTGATTACATCGATCATAGGACACAATTAGATGCTAATATCTTCCCTTTAGTGCAAGGCCTACAAGCCAAAAACTATGCTCCTAGCCATCTTCTAATTTGTACCTGTTACGTATGCGTGTCCATGATGTAGAGACTACTGTCTTTCAATTCAGTGAGGTGTTTTCTCTTTTTATGAACGACTAAATCATGTCTCCTTTTGCTTTTGTGTCCACAAATATCACATGTGAATTTGGGTTCTACACCGCACTCCAAAAGCATATGTCTACGCAAAATATAGTTCTTCTTGTATACCTTACCACATCTAGAGCATTCGTATCCATCCCCCACTGAAAATTTATTTTATCTATGTATAATATTGTTAACATGAATACAGTTTAGTAGGTAGTAAAGGGGAGTTAACTCACTGATTATGAAAATGCTCTCAAAGGTAGTTTATTCTGGGAGCACTATAGTCTGGAAAATATTCTGGTTAGATTTTTTGCATAATCGTATTAACAAATCTGCATATTGTTAAAAACAATATTGAAAAAATTAAAAGGTTGTTCTTTTAGTCCGAATAAGGTTTTTCTTAGATACATATGTTGGATCATTCTGAGCATTTTTAATGTTGTCAGTTTTCGAAATAAAAACGAGTTAGTATTTTTGAAAGGACGAAATATGCTATTTTCGATCCCGAAAAATAATATAAAAACGAAAATTTTAATGTCGCCAAAGTTTGAACTTGTATTAACAATACCGAACACTTTTTTGGGGGGTACTGCTTTAAACTTCCTTAGTTGTTAAACAATAAGTGCGGGATATGCAACTGGTGGTCGCCCCTATGCTGCATATCTAGCACTCATGCAAAGCAGGCTGAGCGATAATAATATGATAATACCTCATAAAATGCTACAAGATTGTGTTAATAGTTATTTAAACTTTGGCTATATTAAAGTTTTTTTAATATTGTTTTTCAGGATTGTACTTTTTCAAATATTAAATTGTTCCTATCTGGAAAACTACCAACTTTAAAGAAAAAAGTCATAAGAATCATTTTTTTAAATTGACCCCAAAATCTTAAAAAACCTTTGTCCAGTGTGAAACGAACCATCTAAAAGAACATTATATCATACACCTGCACTTGTTTTAAACATAAGATCTGCATCATAGCAACACTAGTTTGACCAAGAGACAACGCTATACCTGTGTCACATAGTTTAAAATATACACATATGTTTTAAAAGTCCTGCAAAAAAACGGAGTGCGAGACACTACTTTACACTATAATGATGTACAAGTACACTGGACAGTTTTACAGTGGAAAACTTACTATATACTTAATATTGGTATTCGTTCTCAATTAGCATAACCAATTTTATTAAGAATATATATATTTTTTTTTGAATGACCAGTTTTAAAACTTTGGACTATCGGACACGGTAACATAGACGTTGAACGGTGTCCTTCTCATTACGCGGCAAGCCCCATTAAACACGATAAATTCCTTATACAAGAAGGAATATATTATTTTTTACTATCTGTAAATATGAACCTTTTGCATACCAGACTCAGCTGTATCATAGTGAAATATTAAATTCGCTGTCTTCAAATTATTTTTGCAAACTGAAAGACTATTTTTTGAAATAAAAAATCTAAAGAACTGTTGATAAAAATAAAAGTTACTTTGGTGGTAAAAAATTACAAAAGCATTTTGTTAAGGTGCATGTATTTTTCCTATGGTATAAAACGTAATGGAATAAAATCCGGTGAATGAAAAACATTGTACCACTACCTAGTCTAGACGTATTAAAAATATATGTATTATTTTCATATCACTAATATCCAGTGTAATCACCTTCTAATTATTAAAAAACATTCATAGTTTTATAACGGATGCAATTTCTGTATGTTTCGTGTATGATGCACCTTCAAATTTGAAAATGGACCATTCGAATTGAATGCAAATTTTTCATAGTACATACGTTAGCAAATGATGGACATTTCGTGATTCATGGGATCCCAGACTATTAACTGATAATGTAAAAAATGATCTACATATTTTTAAATAAATCAGAATTATTAATTCCAGTCTTTTCCAGTTAACAGCCGCGTCAAATACATCTTTCAGGAATCAAGCTACGAATTTACACAGCTCATTAGTTCAAGTTCCATAGTTCTATGTAGTTAAAGCAACAGCACGTATATGTGCGTCAAAAATCTAACTGGAAGTGGTCCGTTACTTTTTGAAAGTCTCGTTCTTTGCTAGTTTATAAATATCCGTGTTGCTGCTTTAAGTAAGTTATTAAACACAAATAAATGAGATTACATTCAAAAATATTTTTTGAATATGTTTCTAAAAAGAGGAAACAAATCAAACATATCGGAAAACATTCAAAAAGACATTAGGCGACACCAAAGAATACAAACTATTTTATAAACTGTGTCAATTTTCTCGAAACCTGTAATTCCCCGCTGATATAAATTGATAACAAATTTATCCGATAACATTTATAATTATCCATGTTTTCTGAAACCACATATGTAGGCCTGCGTCATTACTAACGTTTTGGTCACCTCAGTGGCATGTTTCAAAGTACATATCAAAAAGGTCAGTGACAATATATTTTACATTTACCGGTCTAAATTATATATGAAAAAGTATATTATTTTATTCTAAGGCAATTTCTTAGTAACTATAACATCATAAATTCAGTACAGTTTGGTTTCACAAAAGGACGGTGCAATCAAAATGCTATTTTAATCTTATGCAACGTGACTTCGAAAAATTTTGGAAACAAAGAAACGACAGACCGCCTGCCGTTTGACCTAAGCAGTGACACCAATGACCATTGCTTGTTGTTAAATAAATTAGAATGCTGCTTTTACCCAAATGAGTGACTATTACAGGTCCAATGGTATCATACTAAATGCACAGAAAACGGATTTGGTCCTATTTAAGTGATTTAAAATTTAGCGTGAGAGTTAATGAAACTGGCTATAAAATAAGGCAGAATAACTATTGCAAATATTTCGGCATTTACATGGACTCAAACTGACTTTTATTAACCATATTGATCACTTTGCCAAACAACTATCACTTCAGTCATTCATCATGTGGTAACTCGGACCGCATGTGAATATCCAACTGTTAAAACTCTACTATTATGCACATATATAACCTATATTAAGTTACTGCTTTGTGGTATGAAGAGGAAGATACAGAATGAATGGATTCTTTATCGTACCGAAAGGAACTGTTACAACCATGATTTTCAAAAATGCAAGGCATGCATGTAGAGATATTTATTCAAGCAAAACTGGGTATAATGACTGTGTACTCCTTGTATATCTATAGGAGTGTATCTATGTCAGAGAAAATTATAAACTTTCATTCTAGAAATGGCACTATCAGTACCTTCGACTATAACCTAAGCACTAATTTTAGTATTATCACCCCATGATACCAAGCTTGCTTCACTGACGTGGGGTTCAACTATCATGCCTATAATATTGTTCGACACTTACCGATATCCATAAAATACCTTGAAAGCATCTCAGTATTCAAACGCAAACTATACAGATAAGTGTTGACATACCAATTTTAATCAATAGACGAGTATTTATCACAGTCATTTCAACCCGTATTTTTCAACGTTTTTTTTTTTAATTCTGTTTAATGTGTTTACAGTTGTTGGGTGAATCTAACCCACTTTTCTTGACTTTCTATTTTCGGTAAATAAATCTATACTTACTATACAGTAGGGTCAATTATGCTTGAGGTTTCTCTTGTTTTGAATGTAAAAAACGTCGAGCTTCGAGAACACAATCCCAAAAAGGCAGCGATTGTCTAATCGTATGACAAGCTGTTAAAAGGTGGGAAAAAGACAGATTGGATGTAAAGATAACCTATATCTCGCAACTTCATCACGTTTTGTAGTCTATTGACGTTGACAATTGATCAGAAATTGACATCTCTGTCAGTTTATAACCTAAGTAATCATCCCCTACATCTAGTTTTCCAGATTACCCCCATTGTCGCAACACACCAGTTGACTGTTATGCAATCTTCGATTACTAGTGCTTCATCTTCATTGTCCATTGGTCGAAATGCGAGAAATGAAGGGTGCCCCATAAATAACGCAAGATTTGAATTTGCCGCCATGTTTGCAGTAAATTGTAGGCGGCCCCGAAAAAATAGCAATTTGACAGCTGGCAGATTAGGGTTATACGATACAACAACGTGTTTTAATTATTGAATAATATTTCAAAAATCTAAAGTTTAGCGTTTAGCGTTAGTTTTATTCAAAATATGGCCGGAATAGTGTTTAGCCTCGACAACTATGAAAAGATTAATTGATAAATTCAAGGAGACTGGATCAATTGGAGACACTAAACACACCGGTCGTCCAAAAACAAGCCGTTCAAATATCCATGTCGAAACAGCGCGTAAGAGTGTTGATGAAAACCCAGGAACGTCAATTCGGCGTCGTGGACAAGAATTGCAAATTTTAAGAAGCTCTATACGGCGTATACTAACAAAAGATCTCTATATTCATGCTTACAAAATTCAATCAACACAACAACTGAAGCCGTGAACAGCGAAGATAGTTGATGGAATGGATTATTAAATCAACAAGTGGTTGTTGATTTTTCGAGCAAAATCATCCTAAGCGATGAAGCACACTTTCAACTTGCTGATTTTGTTAATCACCAAAATTGCGGTATTTGGGCTTCGAAGAACCCACGTGAAAAACAAATGCACTCACAATGTGTCACTATTTGGTGCGAATTTTACGCTGGATGCATCATTGGATCATACTTTTTTGAATAAATGAGGCTGGTGAAGCAGTACTTGTTACTGGTGCTCGATATCGCGACATCATAACACAGTAGTTCTTTCTGCCGAAATTGGATGCCATGGGTGTGTCCAATAAGTGGTTTCAACAAGATGGTACCACATGCCATATAGAGCCAGTGAAACAGTTCAATTACTGCATGATACATTTCGTGGTCGTGTACTTTGCCGATTCGGTGATCAGAATTGGTCTCTAGTACGTGTGATTTAACACCATTAGATTTCTTCTTATGAGGTTATTTAAAGTCAAAGGTCTATGTCCACAAGCTCCGTTGCATTACAAGAGGAAATTTAACGGTGCATCAACGAAGCTTAGTCACTATTATGCAGAAAGGTCATGAAAAATTTCTACAAAATAGTGCGTATGTGCCAGCAAAGCCACGGGGTGATTTGCCCGATATGATAATCCATACAAAACCATATCCTAAGTACTCTATGGTTCGATAAAAATAAAAATCTAAAGACATAAAACTTTGATTTCTATTTAATTCAAAACTTTATTTTGGGACATCGACGCCTCAATGGCCTCACGTTGTTTGTTTTGTTGGAATAAAAATTATGAACCGTCAGTCTATATAGAGAGTATCAATTATATATTTCCTTCAGGTATCCTGGAAAAGTCCAGGTAGTCTAAACGTTAGTAAAAACTCAAGCCTACATATGTAGGCATTTGTCCTCTCTATTGTAGTTACTATATATCTCATTTTCCTCCTTCTCCAACAACCTTCTTTCTTCAATTATTCTTTGCCTTAACGTAGCAACGTGCTGCCACATACCCATGATTCAGTTTATCAGACTGACGGAATCAGCAGCTTTTTCCGCAGGTATTTTTGACTGATACAGGATATATTGCCAACAGGCTCCTCAATAGAGTAAGTATGCATTTTTCTGAAAATATTGAAAAATGGATACATACACTATTGGTAAGCCTGCTGGTAATAGCCGATATCGGTGGAATTTTTCCGAGGAAGAGTTATTAGTATGAAGCAGCACATTGTTATGTTGAAGCAAATAATAAGTGAGGAAATAATGTTGTTAGAAACGGACAAAAAATTAGATTTGGGAACTACAACAACAGAGAATACTACCAACCCACCTCTTGCAATCAATCTCACAGCCTGTCAAGCTACGGGAATAACAACAAAACAAGAAGGACAAGTTGGGATACATCGATCAGAAGTGTTCAACAGATACGTAGCTGGTATGCGCGATTGCAAAGAGCAATGGAATGTCAAACTTACAAATCTAAATGAACAAAAAAATGACACCTAGTTTAATTTAATGTTCAGAAAACATGGCGAATTGTCTGTGTGAAAACCACAGAGTAACATTTGTATCTACTTTCCCCCATAAAAATCATTTATAATAAATGACTTCAACTCATATCAACAACATTGTGTATTCTAATAGCATGCATCTTGAGATCCCTCTTGTAGTAGTAAGAATTGTTGCAAAAGGCACACTTGAACTGCTTCTCCTTTCCACATTCCACTGACAGATGCCTCTGTAGGTTTTTGGTCAACGTATAAGACTTGTTGCAGTTTGGACACGGAAATCGGAATTGAGGTGCTAAAAAAACGAGACTGTTATTATCTGAATTAAATAAGAATCACAACTGAAGATGGCAAGTAAGCTTTAGGTAATGGATTGCACAGAGAACTATCTCGGATCTGTTCTAATTGTGCGCAGTGGACTATATGGTGACTTTTGAGATTTCAGAAGCATCTTAAGATTTTGTGCTAACAGAATTAAAAGGCTCTGTGCAATAGTTCATTGTTCATTTTATCTTTAGAAAATCGGAAACAGATTTGGCGACATGATCAGTTATCAGAGACAAGAGTAACAACAATCACTGCGCTAGATATATGACATGACCAGATATACTTATCTTTCACGTAAGAAGTAAGTAAAATATTCTTTCCTCCTCGTATCTTGAAAAGTGACATTATGTCGGTTTTTTTGACATTATGTAGGTTTTCCTATACGATGTCAACTTGCAGCTAGCTGTTGTATGTTTTAGCTGTAAGGAAACTGCAGTGCTTAGTGAGGATTTGTGCACTAATAGTCTGTGTTGATAATTCCCTTGGTTTCTTGACTCAAATACACCTACTTGAGATGTAGGTATGCAAAGCTAGAAATTAGTAGTTAACGAATGCAGGCACATGTGACGTTAGCGTTTGTTGTTAAAGGTATTGGAATGCGCTCGTCTACAACTAAATTTAGTTTCGGGTTGGACCGCGTCGGGTTATGTTCGATGTAGTGTCCAACGACGAGTCTCCTCTCATCGAATCCAGACAAACGACTAAATACTAGAAGCGCAACACATCCTGTCCAGACCAAATCAAACCTCCCTTTGATGTACCGATCAAGGAACATTTATCGAATTTGAAGAAAAACATGAAAAACCAGAATACACCTGGTATCTAGGATGTAGAATGCAAAAATTAATAGCACAAATCAGGTGATCTTGATGTTTCGACGTCATGTATCAAAACACTGTCAAAAGCTACCTTTGAAGCTTTACTGCGAAAAGCGCTCAAGCAGCTCTCGCAGTAGCTTTTTCTGGGATAGACATATATTGATTTTTTATGTGGGTTTTCCTATTTTATGCTCACTTGTAGTAGGCGCGGAATGAACTAGCACCTACCTAGTGCACAAGGTAACATTTTACGAATTTTTTGACATTATATAGGTTTTTTACGGAATAACCCTGAAGGTAGATTTGACAAAAGCACTCATGGCAACGTTGCCAGATGGTCGGTACTATCGGTAAGGCAGGCACGAAATTTCTAAATCGCAACGTTGTTGGCTATGGACTAATTGTTTGGGCATGTTTTAATGAGTTAATTCATATAACTTTCTTGTTAGACATACGCATAGCTAATGCGTTCATGAACTGGTAACCGCGCTGCGTGGGACTGCAAAGTCAACTGCGAGAAAGTGGGCGTGGAATACGTACCTTTCGGGGAACAGTATTCCTAAACAACAATAGAAAAGTCGTTCCCCGAGTTCACTCTCTGAAACAAATGTGCGGAAGTCTCGCCTTCGTTCATCAGTCTCCGCTATAAAGATAAGGTTAAACTTTGTAGCGGAACATCAAACTATATGAAGAACCCAGGAGCACAAACTTGTTTGACAAATGTTAACATCTGTCGAAGTTTGGAACCATTCCCACTTATTCTCAGTGATTCTACTCCCACGTTTTCAAGGGTCGGAGTAGAATAACTAGTAAACAGTGGGCGTGGTTATATTACTGTAATCTTAACATTTCATTATACAAATGCCAAACTATAGATATTTATTTCTGATACTGACTAACTATTGCAATATACATATTACTTACAGGTTGCTTATAAGTACCAGATTCGATATTAAAAAAATACGTTTTATTTATAAAATAATCTTACATGTCGGATTAATTAACAAGTATACAAAATGATTATGATTCTGATGAGCGGACCGATACAACAGTAAACAGTAAATTTTAACATCAATCAACATGGTCAATATTTCTACAAGTTGCGAACCGTAATGTTACTGATCCTTCATGCACATTACAACAATTGTGAAGTTATAATTCCCACCTCATTCACGATTATAACAATGTCAAATATTAATTATTTTTTTCACAAGCATTAATGAAAAAATACCCGATTTCAAATCAGTGACTTGAACCACCAGCACGATATTGCAATCTTTTGTGATGAACGTACACTGACAAGCTTCTCACAAACTTTTCGAATAACCCTATTTATGGGTTATGATATATCAAATCTGGGGGCATACTAACAGTTAACTTAAAAGTTATCAAACTTAGTCCTTACGTCCCCCTCTTTTCTCTGTATCCCTCTATAGCCCCACGGTACCCACACGTGCTTAGGCCTTTCTGATGGCTCAAGTATAAAAAAAAGTTAATCATGGATTGGAAAGCCAAGTCTAAGTGGTGAATAACTTGTAATAGAACTGTTTACCACTAACCTCAAAAATCCTCACTATTCATCTCCTTCATCTAATAAAAAGTGATATATTTCTTACGAGAATAATAAATAAATATGAAAGCCTTCATGTTTTTAGTGCTGTTAGTAAGTCTGCTGTCAGTTTGATAGTAGGCTACTAGATGACTTTGAAATTTGAGTTGAAGGTAGAAAGCATGAAGGCATTTTTATATTGGAAGGGCATTTAAATGTAATTTTTTTCTCTCTGGCAATTTCAATATGTTAGCTTGACAGCAGATTACTAGGTTTAAAATATTGTAGATATGAAAAGATAAAACATTTGAGGGTCTTTCGGTATGGAAATAGTACTTGAGTGTAAAATTTTTGTAAATATTTATGGTTAATTCAGTCTCTGCGGAGATATTTTGGTATTATGCCATGTGTCACAGGGATCATACAAACAACGTGTCTAGAAGGTAAAAGTCTATTTTGGTGGTCCAAGTCTCTAATCTTTACGATAGGTATTGCTTTTTCCATGATAGAATTTCAACAATAATTAAAATTAAATCAACAAGAATTTAGAATAACCTCTTATATTCTAGAATGAAAAAAAATGAGATGATAAACTATCTATTACGAATATCAATATATTAAACCTCTATCGTTTAAAAAATGTATAGTAAGGTGTAAAGAAATATACTCTATTAAATCTAAATTACAGGTAAAGATTAATAAAATAACATGGTATGTAAAAGCCCTACCATTTCAAAAAACTATCTACTATACATAGAAATTATTGAGGCAATAAGTTTGAAATACGAAAAGTTAAAAAGGAAAATGGAAATAATAACATTCATAATAATCACAGTACCTTTTTACCTAATTATTATATGGAATACATATTACAAAATTTAACAATATATGAAAGAGGCTGCAATTTTGTCTTCATAGGCAGACTCAGAACAAATGAAAGTTGACCACCTTGAAAATGTTTCGGAGGTATAGAGAAAAATCATTTCCAGGATGATCACGTTTGTAGATATAAATAGAATCAAATAAGATAAGAACACCAAAAAAAATATGCAGTGCTCTTTTTTATACCTATAAAATATTTCTACCATAACCATTTTTGTTCGGAAATAATCTCGTGCTACAGTTTAGATATTATTCAAAAGTTATAAATATACTTTCGGTCCAGCAAGAGAATGCAAGGCAAAGACTACCGGCGGGAACTAAAAGAGGTTTTCAGATATGGTACATTTCTTGGATTGTCATTTTGAATATATTCATTTAAAATATGAAACACAAAGTCTCAAAAGAGCTTTGAAACTGACTAGTGTAACAACACAGGGTAAACAGGGGGTACCTGAATGGTTAATGCTGATCTATAGGCTGTGAGTGGATGGTATTAAATACCTCACAGGGAAAAGAAGATCAACAACATAGGAGAAGGATCTGTCAAGGCGACAATTCCTCAGACGATATCGATAGACCTACCGGTTTCTGCATCACCACTCCCCGTTTCCCCCCTTGCATTCTCTCGCTGGGCGAGAAGTAGCAACGTACTGCCAGTAGTAGTAACTTGATAATACTGAATGTTTTTATGCTTTTGTATATTAACGTTAGATTGTGAATCTTCAAATTCCAACTGTAAATTATTTATCAGTGTACCAATAAAAAGCTGTATAATAAATGGACGTTAGTTGATCCCAAACACCGCAAGATTGGAATATAGAGGTATAATGTATTTAATTATATTTTAAGACTTTTGAACTATAAAATGGTCATGCTTGTTGTGGCTGGATATTTTTGATAGTGGAAGAAGTATCAATCTAAACCTAAACTTTAGATTGTTAAAATGTGTTTACCTATTAAAGACTTAAAGACATCAGGGAAAGCATTTAAAACCTTGTTACAAAAAATGTTCGTACTATCAAAATATCCAACCATCCCGCTTATGATCGCTAAATATCAACGGTCATCATGTAGCTTGTACATAAAAATTTTCTGCTTTATTTCGAACCTGGTCTGAATGTCGTGTCGCCTGAATAGATGGCGCTCGACATGTGTCTTCTGGTATCCTCGGTATGAGCATAAGGAACATCCGAACCTGGGTAGTTTGTTGCATTCGTATTTGATGTGCCTAGCCAGAGTGGATTTTTTTGCGTAGATTTTGTTGCATGTTGGACAGTTGAAGTCGGATGTTTCAAATAAAAAAATACCTGAAAGTTTTTTGGTCAGGGTACAAACAAAAAAAATAAAAAACAAAAAAAAATAACTTAAAGAAAGGAATGAGAATAAAAATGTACAACGAAATAAAAAAGAAAGAAAACAAAATAACGGAGAGCAAATAATAATATATTTAAAAAAAATATATATGATAACGCTAAATCTAAAAGTGTAAAATAACTAAGAGCAATAAAACAACAACATTTGAAATCTACACATTATTAACATAACGTAAAAATGCCATTTTAAATAACTGTTATTATACACAGTGTGTCAAGAACTGTTTAGAGTGGTATTGCGGATAATATGTTCCAAGTATAAAGCTTGAGATCTGTATACCACAGAGATATATGAGCTCACACTGCTTCAAAATATTTAGAGCGCAATACTACCTAAGTACAGAAACCTCATTAATATTTAAAATCGATGTATCTGTTAGTCAACACTATAGTCAGTTTACTATGTCAAGCCTGAAAACATAAAAAAGTATATACTAATATGTTCTAGATACATTTTGATAACAGCAGATTTAAAGGCATTAGGGTCAAGTGGCACTGAGTTAATAGAAATGACTCAACACCGTTCATAACCATTCAAAATAAACTGACCATAGGAAGCAGTAACGTGTTCTACAAATCAAATAAAAGCATTCTTCCTAAGCATCAATAAAAACGTCAGTCTTTTTAGCCGTGCTCATATTTTGTAATGTTCGTGGAACTCTTTGAAGCAAGGGTAAACACAGAACCCTGGAAGACCTGGACATTTGGTGCAATGATATCTACTGTATCTCCTCACATCTTTCAAATGACACCATCTACACATCTTTCTAGCTGACTTGTTGCTCAACATCTCTACTGTCGGTATTCTTTCCAAAAGGTGATCAACGCTGCGCACGAGGCTGCGGACTTGGTATACGTTTCCTTCTAAAAATGCAATTATATAGCAATGTTCTAATGTTACAAGGCATGAGTCGAGATGAAAATCAAAATGTAACCTGAAAAAGTTGTTCTAACATTGTCTTTTTGATCCAGTACTCCTCCTATGACCAACAATGATGAATTATCAGCTTATGTAACCAGTATGACAAAAAGACATCTTAAAAGTAATGATATTAGGTACATTCAGCTAGTATGAAGCAGTCCAGCGGTTCACAGCTTTTATGCTGAAGAGAGGTAACCGTGGAATAGTCGGTTCTTTCTGACAAGAAATTTCTGTCTATCAAATAATACATAAATATACATTAATGATCTAGCTTCACGCTGATTAGATCTGTTACACAGGAAATGACCGTTCGAAACTGACAGAAATATATTGTTGGAAAGAACCAATGAATTCAGACTAGGTAGAGGCTGCGATTTGTTTGACTCCAAAATATCTGTGTAGTCAGGATGAAAGTGACAGTTCTGTCATTAAACTCATATTTTAGTGTTATTTTTAAAAGTGGTAGTATTTGCAGATAATCGTGTGTTAAACGATTTCAGGATATGGTACTTCTTTCATCATTTGCAAAGATCGACACAAGCCTAATCGAGGTAGATTTTTCCGTCGGTAAGTACTATTATGTTGATACATTGTCATTCTAGTAGTCAAATGAGTCAGAAGCATGCACTAAAACTACGCAGTCTTGGGGACAGATATGCAATGCAAACATATCGGCTGATCAACAAACTATCAAATCTGATAACCAAGTGAAAACGCTGTCAAACTGTCAAAGCTGTCCCATGGTCCTACTATCCAGCATAAAAGCTTGACCGCTTTACGTCAGTTGAGTAGACTCAATACCTCGAATTTAAAATATGTGTATTTAAAAAACTAGTGCACAAAATTTTTTATGTATACAGAAGCAGCACAAAATTTTATATGTACACAGAAGCAGCACAAAATTGCGTGAATGAAGCTTACCTATAATATCACTAAATTGTGACACCTGTTGAGATAGGTAAGAAGGAAAATCAAATAGATAATTCATACATTTTAAAAGTTTATTAATCTGAAAACAGCACTCATTTTGATTAGTATGAGAACAAGTGAACGATATGAAACTATTTGCTTTGGTCAAACATTCAATATTATAACAGTCCATTATCACATCAGATTTTGATATGGTTAATTTGCATAAAATATATAAGGCACGCAGGTAATCACTAAATCTAGCTACAGCATAATTTACGTGACTCAGTAACAGAATTCCATCTAAGAATTTTAGAGATTTGTTCCAATTTCATCTTAAAGAGCAGTTATAAGAAATATGTATATATTCCATTAAAGAGTACCGTGTACAACAAGATGTCGCGACTCTTACGTTGCTGGTCCTCTATCCAAAACACCTCATATTATAATTTAAAAAGCACCTTTGGTTTATATCACTAAGTCCAAAGTAGAGATATTGAGTGCACCTAGAAAGGCACACGTTCTTTAGGTAAGCAAAAATTCCCTGTAACAAAAACTTTGGGAGTTTCCAAGAAATCAGTTTTACCAACTGTCTAACATATTCTCCACGTAATGTAAGCTCACAGGTCCATATATTTCGAAAAGGACATTAAGAAACCATTCAAAAAGTTCTACAAACATATGGCATCAAGCAAGTCTGGATAGAAAATTGTTGATTGTTGCAATAAATTCTTATACATAATGTCCGTCTTCAGGTTCAGTTACTTGGTAAATTAATGAAACTTATTAGAAAAAAAGGTAATTTCGTACAAACAGGTCTGACAGCACTTGCATGATACAAAACTAACATGTTCAAATTTGTGTTTTTCGATAGCTAGGAATCCAAAAAATTATACTGTCATCTTTGCAAAGACTCAATATCAAAAAGGGGTTCAATATCCATGGGAAACTTATGTTTGGTCATATAGTGCATCTTCAAGTTGAATCTTCTTTTCGACGTAAATGAGCATACCATGCATTTATGGATGGAAGACTTCATGCAATCCAGGTTTATGTGAGCTCTCAGGCTGTTCAGATTTTTGAAGGTTTTCTTGCAAACTGTACAGCTTGCTAAAAATAAAGTTCATTAATATAAAAAGCTCAACAATCCGATATTTGGATTAGAAAAAGCGGGGGCAATTCAATGGATACTACGAGTGAGATTTATAACTTTCAAGGCAGGATTTGAATTTTCATTACATAGTAGGCCATAACAGTTCACATCATCGATGTCAGAAAGATTTTTCTTTGCTGGCACTTTGATGATAAAATAAGGACGATTGGGCTTATTTGTGTTAAATATATCAATAAACAATGCAAATAATAGTGTGCTTGCTTTCTTGAATTATAGCGTAAACAAAGAAAAGTAAATAACTGACAACAGGCAACCAGTGGCACCGAATTGCTCTGCTGCTACTATCTGTGATTATTTTCAATGATCCCTTTGAACTTTTTTTTATAGCTACACACTATAATTTATAATATAAAATTTGGGTACACTTTTTGTGTGAAATAATGTAGTACTTGAATCTGGCAGACGTTATCTACAATCTGCAACCAGCAGAGCAGTTTGGTGACATTCGATATTATACTATTCAGTGTATATTAATTGTCCAGCTCATAAGTTTTGAAATGTAAAACTAGCAAGAATATAACGGCGATATTCATATGATCGTTGTGGTCAATTCGAGTTTCATTTTCCTGTGACACCTTATAAAACAAGTCGATAAATAAAAATACAAGACCATTTTCAATTTGAGCAATTGAATACATCAGATGCTTATAAAATGTACGGCAATCAAAAGATTACAACGAATAGGTGACAATACTACAAACGCTAGATCGCATATGATTCGCTAAAGCTTGATACCTCTTAGAACCATACGCTGAAAGTGACAGGATGCCATTAAGCGTCGACCAAGAAAGAAAGGCAGTTATCTTTCTATAAACGGATAGATGTCGCCCCCATCATTAAAAGGACGACCTGTCAATTAGCCGAAATACGATGTATCCTCAAGGACACGTGCTATGCAAAATTGCATGGATAGGCGAAGGACGAGCTGAATCTGATTTAAGTCTCTGTATGACCAACCGCATATAACATTAGTTTTATGCTTATTAGCAGTCATCACAAACGATACTATTCGGAAATGCCAGGAGACAGATAAACGGAAGTGAACAGGCCTGGTAATACTGAGTACCTTGTGCGCAGAGCTTGATACAGCTTCGGCCCATTAAGCTTTTCAGTAGCTTTGCTTTCTATTTGTCTGAATCCAACGACCTATATCATATTGAGCATTGCTAATAAGCATGAAGCAACGTTGTATACAGTTGGTCAGGGTTACAGAGGCGCAAAGCAAACAGATTCAAATCAAAATATAACAACCTCAATCCGCCCTGAAAATAAAGTAAACAAGTTAACAACAAAAATCCATTATATATTGACAAAATGTGTAAACTACATTAATATTTCTACGTCAAACCTCATTGGCATTCATTGCTTTCCAGAGCAGCTCACTTCTTTATGCCTCCTTAAAGTATATTTATACCTGAATTCTTTGAAACAGACATTACACTTAAATGTTGGAGGAACATTGCACTCAATTCTAAGGTGACGGACTAAATGACCTTTGTGCATGTATGAACGGCCACAGTTCGGACATCTATGTTTATGGCCTAAAAAATAGATAAGTTTGACTACGACTCAGAAATACATGAAAGTGAATCAAGTAATAATTGAGCTTAAGAACTAGTTGAAAGGTATTCATTTTACATCTTAATACTTTACATTTATCCCTTACTCATTATCAAGTATGAGTGCAAATTAAAAAGCTGTTCAATATGTTTGTATTTTAATGTAAATATGTGTTTAGTTGCCTATAGACGTAATCTTTTTGGTCACTTTGAAATGAAGCTATCCATGTCGTACATACCTAAATTGTTACCACGTGGGAAGCTGTTTTTTGATGTGTGACCAAAATAAATTGTGTCTAAAGTCAACTATACAATTATATATTTTTCAATTTCTATTAGTTTCAGTCAATATTGAAACGCAAATTGTTTAAACAAAAGAAGCCTTTTTTGGTTTTTTCAACCATGCAAAATATAGACCCAACACGTTTTGTAAGCATCTGCAGAATGAGGATGAATACTTAGTTCGGTTAAAAAAATGTTATATGTGACACTTATACAGAAAATACTTGCTGCCCAGTTTTACCTCTGGCCAAGTTCCTTCTTTTATCCGATACATATTTTTCTATTACTAAGATAAAAATCTTGTAATTAAGACGCTGCTCGTGTTGGGTAGTTTTTTTTCAAGAAGAACCTATAAGACTCCGGAAAAAATATTTGTGCTCCAGGACTTGCAAATAAAAACTAGATGCATGAAAAAATATCAAAAATTGTATTACACCTATCAAAATGAAACTTAACAAGTTCATATAAAATATTTAGGTAAATATAATGTTTAATAAAAGCAAATATCGATACAAACATAGGGTATAACTGGAATATAAAAAATAGACTCTCATAAAACTGTTCAAAAATAGTTATTCTATGGAAATATATGGTATTGTATCACAGGTAAACAGTAACATATCATAAACTAATAATGCATCTATATTTAGACAACTACCAAATTGGAACAGAGTAGTGTGATTTGTAAGCCCTATTTCACGAACATCCATCACGTTTTGACATCTACTGATGTCAAGTCATCGTTGGTTGTCAGAGCGGTCCGTGAGACCTTAGCTCTAGAGACGCAGTGTCAGTTTGTAAGTCTGTCAGGTCTGATAACCCAGAAACCAAACAATTTTAAGGAAATCTACTGAGGTCAACAGCTGATCAACTAGTGACATCTTTGTATTAGTCTGTAACGTTGGAAATAATGAATCGTGTGTAGGTACATCTAGTAAATCTTGCTTATAGCGTTTTTTTGTATGCAAATGGTTTTTTTCTAAATAAAGCGTAAACATTAAAATTAACTCAACCAATGATGATTACCAAAATGAGTGCCCTAGGAAACTTAGTAGTTATGTTAATGTTTAGACACATTATTGGGATCAACTCAGAATCCAATTGGATGTGTATTTTATCAAGAGGCTCCTTGGAAAAGTGTAACTCGCATAAATCTCCCATTTTGCGACTTAACTCAGAAACAACTCATCGATGAAACAGCAATCCATACAGAGTTGACAACATGGAGACCAGATCTACCTCGTTCATGAGAATTGGCGTTTATGAAAACAGCCTTCTGGACAAAATTAGAGTGTTGGACCAACTTTTTTGGAAAACAACACAAAACTCAACACTTTGATATTCCTACATCAATGTCTAATATACATCATCTATTGTTGGAAGAAGTTGCAGCCCTATTGGAGCGACGCTCCTTCGAATCTTTGATTCTCTCCTCCAATATGTCTTTCTTCGAAAAGGCTGACCCTTATGAGTGTTCATGGATGAAATCACGGACAAATTATCAATATTATTTAAAGGTAAAGGTAATTAAAATCAGGTGGGGACTAGATAATACTCTAATATATCCATTAGCCAAGACCAACTGTCTCATCCACCATAATAAATACAATGTAAGTGTAAACTCTATGCTTCTTCATAAGAAAGAAGAAAAACAATCGTCCAATTGCTTGGTGACTCAAATCATGAAATCATCAGGTTTTATAGTTGAGAAAACAGACGGATCACTTTATTTCATTGCAGACGCTCCCATCTAAGTATTTCCCTAGGAACCATAAAAAACTTAAAACAAAAGATTATATGTATTAATGATAACGATCCTTTATTAATAACTGAAGAACACTTGATCGTGAGCTTCGCCAGACACCAAGGAAGAAATCTCTACTACTATCTAATAGAAGAATCTAAAAATGGATTAACCTCTAATTTGAAAACGAGACGTGTTCCTGCCTCATCTATAAAATACAATAAAGCCTTAACACTTGAAAATAACAAGAGATAATCCTGAGGTGCCTCATTATTCTCATAATATCGAGGTCTCATGGATGTTGGAACGACTGTCGTGGACAACTCTCCAGCAAGACTATAGCTTTCAGTCTGCCTCAAAAAGACTCTCGACTAGGAGGACCTTGACCCGAGTCATTCAACTGACCACTAGTTCAATGATATTTTGCAACTCTACACCCTCTCCCCATGTTAGACTACAGACCAAAGAAGGGTGTATTACTGACAGGAAAGGAAGAGGTCTACAAAAAAGACCGTATAACAGTTGATGGACTCATTTGTATTTTCCTCAATTTGCCCAATACATATGAAAAAGAGTTTGATGAGTTAATAAGAATGGGTTCAAATGAGCTATTGGACATGAACAAGGAATAGTGTCAATGTGGGATAAACTTATCTCACATTTTCCTACAGAGGAAACCCCGTATATCTGGTCTCACATCATTCTACCTTTTCTTCCAGTTCGAATTCTGATACTATTAGTCTTAATAATATTTAAAATAATAAGATGTTTATGCACATCCAGAGGATCAAGTTTCAAATCTAATTTTGGGACATTTTAAATAAAAATAGATTTAGAATAAAAGAGTTGATATATATGCAATGAGATCTGCATCGGTGAATACCGCATTGATGGGCATCAGTGGAATACGATTTACAATTATTATTATTATTTACTAATTCATCAACAAATTATGAAAGCTCGTTGCAAAGCTTTTGAATGTTATGATATATTACTGGGAGCTTGTCCAATTTACCAAATGATTCTGAGTACCTAGCTAGTTTATTGTCAAGGAACTGTATTTTCGTAAGGCCACCTGATATAGCATTTCACTTAGGTTCTAAGTAATAACTACTTAATACTAAAAGCATCGATTATACAAAATAATATCTGCATAATCCTGGAAATCACTTGTGACAATGTCATGAAAGAATCCAATAACTATACAAGGAAAAATGAAACAATATTACAATGACAAGCTTTTCGAAATGTGAAAATTCCAGAAGTATACAGCAAAAAGGTAATATTCATTCTTACAAATAAAGTGATCAAATCGACAAATATAAAAAGTGATTTTATAAAAAGAGGTATTTTCATAGGCAGCATTATTACGGAACTGGGGTGTAAATATATAAGCAGTATAAAATATCACAATGTCCTAAGTGCTTTATAATAGGGTAAAAAAATATGAAGAAATGTTTAGGCCGATTACAGAATTCTGGAATATTTCTACAAAATTGCAACGGAGGTTGTTGTGTAAACAGATATAACATTTTTCAGTCTTAACAGAGGAATTTTGAATTTTTGACTCTCGCTCTAAACCTGACCGTGACATAATATAAAAAAATAGCGCTTTAAGGTAAACGAAATTTTACTATCACAAATTTCAGCTCTAACTAAAATTTGGTTTTAAATATTGTGTATAATGAACTGAACGATCAAAATACAATGAAAATATGTGTATAGCTACATGATTAATATCTGCGTTTGTAAACGTGGAACTCGAAAACATATCAAAAAGTTAGGTTCAAGTGATAGGACAAGGAATTACTATAATCACATCATAATTTAAATTTATATCACTTTAGTGTCCCTAAAGTATTGCATGGAACTACGATAGACTGATTAAGCATAAATCACATTGAATAAAATATCAAAAACACCATACCTACACATATCCTTTTCTGTACATTATATAGTAAAAAGCAAAGCTCGCGCACCTCATGCATTAATTAGATTTGTGGAATATGATTAGGTGCCTAAAGGACATCGCAAGGGATTGATCAAGTCGTAGGTTAATATTTTCAAACTATACTAGTGACAAAAAAAGGTAAACACCTATGTATATTTATTAGAATTCAAGAATTTTTTACATATCTATTTATCTTGCCATGAACAACAAGTGATAAAATGAAAATCTTTTTCTGTTAAGTTTTTGTGGTGGCTGCGTGTATTGTTTGGTGATAAAGTAGCATTCAGTTTTCGTAAATTTATTGAGAAGCCTTTTTGTGATTGCTCAAAATGCCATGAGTGCGTAGAGTTCGCAGGGTGTCCCAGCTAAGTGACAGAGGGGTCGAATTGTCGGGTTGCGCGAAGCCGGTCTATCGATAAGACAAGTTTCTAGGAAGACCAACAGATTCTTACGCAGTATACTGAAGTGTGAACGACCGTGGACTCAGGAGGGCCGATGACAGCGAGCGAGGGGTTCTGGAAGCCACAGAGGGACCACAGAGCGACAAGACCGGCTGTTAAAACTTCTGGGTCTGAGAGACAGATTCAATAGTACTCGAGCCATCGCTAATCAGTGGTTTGAAGAGCAAGGAAGGATGGTTGGTATGCGTAAGGTATATCGCCGAATACGACAGTCTGGCCACATTGGGTGCTACCCCTCACAGCTCAACATCGGCGTAACCGTTTGCTCTGGTGTAGAGAAAGAATTCTATGGGGCCGGGAATGGAATCAGGTGGTCTTTAGTGACGAATCCCGTTTCTGCCTCTGGATGCACGATTGTCGGGCCAGAGTGAGAAGGCGACGGGGTGAAAGACGTAACCCACAATTTGACAGAGATATTCACGTTCACTACACCGTGGGAGTTATGGTATGAGGTGCTATTGCTTATGGTAGCAGATCACCACCAATTTTCATCAGAGGCAATATGACAGCCCGACGCTATATTCAGGAAGTAGTGGAGCCTCATCTTATTCTATACCTAAACGCTACCCAAAACCCGATTTTTAAGCAACATAATGCCAGACCGCAGAGCATCGTTAGCCTTCATGGATAAACATCTCATGAACCGTTTACCTTGTCCACCACGATCGCCTGACCTATCTCCAATTGAATATGTCTGGGACATGATAGGTCGCAGGCTCTTGAAATTACAATACCCTACACAGACTTTAGCAGCTCTTACTACAAAGTTGCAATAGCCTGCAATGAGATACCCCAACAGGATATCGACCACCTTAATAGAAAATCATCCTCACCACATTGTAGAACCAGCTTCTACAGTCAGTTGACGAATCAAGCTGAAAATTTTATCATTCTACCAGTAAGGGTCACTGAACATATATGCCAAGAATTATTAAAATCGGATAAACATACGTAGATGTTTACCTTCTTTTGTCACTCAGTATATTTGATACTTGATGGCAAATTATATATTTGTTGTTTTTTTTTCTATTTGAGTTTATCGTTCTTTTATTTGTTACAAGATGAAAAAATATTGTGTTCAATACGTATTTTGTCTGTAACAAAATCATTTCGTTGTGTATTTATAATATACTCGTATTTATATTACCAAAATTATCAAGTAATATCAAAATTAATTGACTTAATTTACATTGTCAATATCTAATACTTGACTTGAGCTTGACTTGATTTCAAGTCAAGTAGCTTGAAAATCAAGTCAAGTAGTGAACCCCTAGACACCCCCATGTAATTAGTTACTTAAACATGGTATTTTTAGTTGCTTTAAAGCATCGACAAAAATGATTTTTGACGCATATCAGTCTGCAAGCGCGATTTTCAGGATTAAATCCATTTTATGATATCGGCATTCCAGAAATATGTCATTTCATAACTTGTTATAGGATTGAGCTCTACACCTCAAACATCATGGAAATCAAATAGTCGATAGGTCTCTATTATAAAAAGCGTTAGTAGAAAAATATTATAAAATAGCAACTAGGAATAGTATCGGCAAACTTCACATGAAGTTCATACCAAATTTTTCAACGAAATTTTGTTATGCGTTTTACTACAGCGATTTAGACTGAATATGTTTCAGCACATCACATCAAAATCTTGAAATCACACAACACAGCGATAGGAATATAGTACACCCATTCGAAGCTGACGTTTAATTTCCTACATAAAAGCGGAATAAGCAAGAACTTCATGTATAGATCGCTTTCATTAACCATTATATCACATATCCTAATTCACAGCATCTACGAATCTGGTATGTCTTTTTTATCCGGTACTTCCTTCTTGACGTCTAAATCTTCAGGAATGTTTGAATTCGGTTTGACATTCTCCTGCATCTCATGTTTGACCACCGAAAAATCTATGACCTTGTGCATTCTTTCGATATGTCTAGTGATGTGCATCTTTTGCTTGGCCTTGTACGAACAATATGGACAATTGAACTGTGGTTCTTTTCCACATTCCCATTTCATGTGATTCCTTAAGGAGCTCTTCAGTTTATAAGCTCGGCCGCAGTTAGGACAGAATACCTTGGGGGACTCCGGTTCAGGTTTGATGTGAGTAGCGGATAGCATCGAGTTTTCCATATTTTGACGCATTAGAAGCATTGGTAAGGCTAAGTGTGCGGGAATCTGGCCAAATTTTATTGGAGCTTTACCTGGAACAAGAGCCATGTTAGATGGATACGTGCCTATTCTATTTTTTATCAGATATTTACAGATTTACATCAGTGTGCAGGAGGGGTTAAATAAATAGTTATCACTGAGAAATATTTATTTAAAAATAACTATATAATTGAGAAACTCCAATAAAATTAAATTCTGTAGTTAATAATAATTATCAATGTTATTTTGTTCATCTGCTCATTTTGTCAAACCACATAAAATCAAAAATAAAGTGTTTTACATGTTTAAAACTAGTATGTCTTTTAAATGCTATATACATCTACTCATAGAATTAATGTCCCCGATCAAGCTTTTCAATTATTTTAATATACTCAGTGACATTAGAAGTGTTGCACCCAGAAAAAATAATTTCTTCAACGGTTTGGAGAAGAATGTAGACCTGTTACGATGCCAACACTCTATCGCCACATTCGACCTTTTGGACCTTTTTCATACCGTCCACGGTTAGTGCTTCCTCTGACTGCGGACCACTGCCATCAACGTTTGAACTGGAGCAGATATCGGCAACATTGGGAGGCTGACTGGCATGTCATCTTCAGCGACGAATCGCGATTCTGTTTAGGTACGCAAGATGGTCGTCGAACGATATGACGCCGCCATGGAGAACGGCGTAATATTGGTTTTGCCGTTGAGAGGCATGTACACAGGAGTAATGGTTTGGGGGTCTATTGCCGATGGTAGCCGATCACCCCTTCTCTTTGATCAAGGCAATGCGACTGCTGAGTGTTATGTTGATGCTGTCCTTTACTGCCATATCTAGAAGACCGTCTACACGTCCTTTTTCAACAAGACAACGCACGTCCCTATATTGAACGTCCTACTAGGGACTTTCTTCAAGAAGCAGACGTTAATGTTTTGCTGTGGCCACCCCGTTCACTGGATTTAAATCCCCCCAACATGTGTGGGATATGATGGGGAAAAGACTGTCCACTTTGCACCATCCGCCACAGACTCTGTCATAGCTGATCCAGGAAGTTCGAGTTGCTTTGAATGTGGTGCCACAACCAGACATCGATCATCTCATTTTGTCGATGCCTAGGCGTCTACAGGAGTGTATTTAGCTGCGAGGTCGTCCAACACTTTAATATTTTTTTATTACTTGTCAACAAATTTCGTGAGAATGTTATCGTTTCATTCTTGATGTGAGACTACCTCAATGCCAAAGTCATGTATTGAAGAAATTATTTTTTCTAGGTGTAACACTTCTAATGTAACTGGGTATAATTTTATGATTATGATTAGGTACGAAATTAATGTAGAATATTTTGCCTAACTCATAGTTAAATATATGGTTTCTTTAGTCAATCAGATGAACCTATAACAGTTTCAAAATCCAAAATATTATTGAAAATACACAAAATATCAACAGACATTCACTACCAACTCGGAACACTACCTATTGCACTATACTCCATTAAAAACTCTTTGTCTATGTCTGTAGAGGGGTACCTAGCAAATAACTATAGGTCTTTTCACGGCTTTTGGCGGGTCAAACTACAATAATTATTTTCATACATCCGGCTCCCTCACACATACATATGCAATCGTCCTCTATGCGCTAACGTTTGTTTTTGTGATCTCGAACACATACGTTTATTAGCTTTGTCTGACCGAGATGGAGATTTTCCCGTCAACGTAGGTATCTTCCACATTTATGTTTGTCACTGTCAGTATGACAACTTGCTGGTCATGGGCGTGTGCAAAAGCGAGTAGCAGATGCGATACGGGTCCGCTTGCGCAGGGTGCAATTTCCCTTAGGAAAGTTCAGTTACGCAAATTAATCGCCAAACGCCGTATAAAGAACTGTAGGTCCGCAGTTCAAAACAATGTTATAGTTCTTTTCGCGGTTTTGGCGAGTTACAGTAAAACTGCCAACACTTTCATGTTTGTGGGAGCTCCGAAGCATACGTTTCTAGTTTTGTCTATCCGTCAGGAAAATTGTATGGTAACGTATCACTGTTCTGCAACTAAACTTGACACTATCACAAATATAGTAATTAACGCTTGGAGATACAGTTAATGGACGAAGTCAATGGTTTGTGGTAAAAATGTAGCATATATTACCAAAAAGTGAATGAGAAGCACGTCTCCTATTACGCATTTAATGTGAGCAGTAACGAGTAACAGCTGTGTTGAAGTTCGGTTTGCGCAGTGAGCATTTTCCCAGCTGGTCTATCTGTTTACTTATTTCGTATGAGATTGCTGACGTGACCGCTCAAAATGGTGAAAAGAACTATACGTTTGCATGGCAGTCTTCACCTATCACATGTTTAAAATAAATGGAAAAACTCACTTCTCAGAATGAGATTTTTTAAATCTGATAAGTGGTCTAGACATATACATGCCTTTTAAAATGTTTTGCAAAAAATACTGTCTGCCATATATCGTCATACTTGGTGTATCACCTCACCATCAAAAAAGGTACTAATATCCATAAAAATAAGTACATAGTTAAACCATTAAAACAAGATATAACTAAGCTAACCCCATGTGCACAAATCCTTAAATCAACAACAAATAAAATTTAAAGTAAAATATACTCGTCCAACGATATTGTACTAATATTTTTGATTCAGTCATATTAAAACCCATTTTATCAACCACCGCATAACTAAAATAAAAACCTATATATGATAACAAATAATATAAATTATAAAAAATGGAAAGTAAACATGTCAACAAAAAAGTAAAACTACAAATTCACTTAGATTTGGTGTATAGCTAAGTTCTACCATAGGTAGATATTTGGTATATATCTGAGCAGGCATATTGCTATCATCATCGTCCATAACCAGGTGTTAGTGCCAAATAAGACATATAACCTAAGCAATAATTTTGAAAGTCAGATTTAATGTCTACTCATCAAGATTGGCGTACAGAGGTGACACTGCCACCTAAGCAGTTCCCCAAATGCCGTACTACTGACCCCTACGTTCGTAACAGAAAACTACAAAGCATCCAATGACTAAACCTATACGCTTGCTAAAAGCAACGTTGTATCTGGTTTGCTATAGTCACAGAGACGGAAAACAAATAGATCCTATTCAGCTATTGTGCTTAATGATTCAACATAATTTACTTTAAGTAGGACAAGAAAAACCTCATCATGAACGATGATGAAAACATAAATATTATTGGAATGATTAAGTACAAATAAATAAAGCACTAACAAAAAATGTATGTATATGTATATCCCCGCTTTATTGTCTAGAGCGGAATGTAACTATATCAACGTAGCTCGAAAAATATTCCAAACAGTACACCAATGAACAATCAGCAGGAAGAAGAAAAAATAAGATCAATGTTCCAAAATCAGTCGTAAGTACTAACAAAACGTAGACTATACTCAAAATTTGAGGAAGTTCTACAGGCTAGGTCATTTGATATTGTCCGTTTCTAGTTTCCATAATACCTATGTTCAAATCGCAAATTGATATACTATATAACAAAGAATTTACTAATAAAATACCTGTCTTCTACCCTCAGCTTGTCTTAAAAATGAATCGGTATCAGGAGTAAATTACAAAAAACTGGATATTTCTGAAATAAGTCTGAATAGGAAGTTAACGACGAAATACGATTTTGCACTGTTAACCCCATAAAATTTTTTAATCATAATCGATCTCAATGTATAATGGTGTACTCCTCAAATTGTACGAAACACTTCAACTTTTGGTGTCTCATGAGATTTTTCTTTTCATAGTATGTCCTTCCACAAATACATCTGTAGTTTCCTTGACCTTTAGGTCTTCTTAAGGGCGGTATATATCCTAAAACGCCGACGAAAAACAACAAAAAAAATTAAAAACATGAAACCAAAATAAAGTAAATAAAATAAGAAATAAATAATACCAAGCAAAGGTGGTTGTTAGTACTGTACAAAAATCATGTACCTCGATAAGTTCAGTCTAATGTACAAGAGGTTAGTTACGTGAAATGTGCAAGGTACTAAATTTTCGATATCTTGAAACGCCATGTTTACAGCCTTCTATTTACAGACCTCGGTGGTTTGATCAAACTGTATTCATACAAAATACATACTATGTTTAGATTGATTAATAAAAATAACGATGTTGCTTGTTTATATGTCTTATGAGTTACCATCAGATGAACTATAAGCGCTAATAACAACTTGCAGTGATGATCTGAAGCTGAAACTCATTTCAGTTTTGTAGGATGCGAATATTTAATTTTTGTTGCAACGTTTCCATATCATTTGTATTTGTTTACGTATAACACGTCAAGACTAAGCTTCTAGTTGACGTGTAGTGTCAATGGCTTGTGAGATAGCTACTTTAAACTGTTGCTTTGATATCCTAGTGATGTTTTAAATAAAATAAGTAACCTAACTTTTCGGGAATTTTGTACGAATCTTATACTAGTACGTATATGAGGTAAGTTCACCCAGTTATGGTACATCTCTTCTGGCCAATAATTTTGAAATCTTATATTTTGAATGATATAACAATAGAAATAAATAACAAACACCGTTTCGTTTGCCAAAAGCAACGGATTTAAATGTAAGTGAACCAGACATCTCTTTATTTCATAGTATATCCTTTAGGCTCACCAACATTTATGAAAAAAATACAATGTCGTAGTCAAAATCTTTGATGCGATCAAAGAGGAAGTATAAAACGCATGGCAATTCAACCTTTACTTTTCTTACTGAGTTTTGATATTTTTTAAGCAAAATGAAATACTAAACATAAACAATAGTATACATGTGGTATGAGCAATAATATGACATTGCACACCATGACGAAATGCGTCGTGCATATATTAAACTCGTGTAGCTGGATATAACAAGCTGCATTCATTTAAAAATGGCGATGCGAAGTTTTGTGATCAAAGACATAAATCCCAAACATTTTTACGGTGATAGTGAAGCAAATGACTTTTCAAAACATCTCTCCTTTTAGCTGCATAGGAGCATCCTTCTTCGGTACAAGGAAACTGAGCTGCAACTCCACACTCAAACTTTTTATGTTTGCTCAGTGACCTTTGAAGTTTATACCATCTCCCGCAGTCACCACAACAAAACCTTTTATCTGGAATAAAACACCGCTAATGAAGGATTTCTATAAGAATAGGTGTCAAATGCCAAAAAAGTGATACACACATATTTCAGCAAAAAAAAGACATAAAATCACCTAGCTTATTTCAACCGCCTATGGAAACAACATTTATGTTAGAACTGCATGCCTTTCTAGTGTTGTGAACTACATATGTTGAATTTACATTTTTACTGACATTTCATCCACAACTTGACCTTGTTCTAAGTAGAAATCAAAACGAGGAATAATAAAATGTTTTATATTTATGGATCGTGGATCCGAAGTGTGAGAAACAGTATCATGAATAATACAGATGTCGTGTCTAGAACATCCAAAACAACACCAACACCTTTTGGCATCAGGAATGGCTACCACAGGTCCTAGTTTTGCTGGTTTTGCGCGGTGCCATCTTAACCTTCATAAACCCGTGGTCAGAAATTTACGTTAAATACCGAGTGGGGTGCAAATGTACCCCAACGTTTTTCTGGCTTATTTAATTACTGTAATTAAAGATTTTCAAAAAATAAACACATTCTGATTATAAAAAATATATATTTTTACATAAGTATGCTATAACATTGATAAACAAACACATTTGGAAAAAATAATTTGAAATGATTATAATATAAAGAAAGATAATTAAGAAGAAGATAAATATGTGATATTTTAAATAATAATTTAATTATCACACTTATTAAAAACGGTTATATTTTTAGAATGTTCTGCACATACGTACTGATTACACCGAATACAAAACTTTCGAGATTTCCTGTCTTTACTTCTGTCGCATAAAAAACATCGCTGCTGTCTCCGAATAGCGGGAGCAGGTGGTTCATTCCTTACAATATTTAATTCTGGCAAAATTGTTAATATGGATTGTTTTATATTGGAATGTAACGACTTGTCATTATGGTATCTACGAATTATATTCTTCTTAATTAATTCTTGGCCCAACTCCAACAGAAACATTCTTCTCCTATCTAAACGATTTTTTTTCCAATCTGGATTTTTCAACATACATAGTTTATAGGCGCTGATGCCACCAATATCCAGCAGATGAAAAAATATTACCATCGACCATCGATTACTTTTTCTTTGAGTGGTAAATTCCTTTGCCAATTTATCTGTTGTATCTACTGCACCCTTAGTTTTGTTGTAGTGTAAAATGATGTCCGGTTTATAGTCACATTCCTCTCCACTTATTCTGTCATCGTTATGTTCTGTTGATAAAAGGATAACTGCCGCATTTTTCTTTGGTACGTAAAAAACTAATGTTTTATTTTCCATAAAAGCAAACATGCTTGAAAAATCTTTCTTGTATTTTGCTGGAAGTAGTTCTTTTGGAATATAAGGTTTAGTTTTACGCAGTGTTCCACACAAGGTAATGTTTTTATCTAAGAGCTTATTGGCCAACTCAATACTGGTAAAAAAGTTATCAGTAGTTATCCCATATCCTGTAGATAAATGGTTTACCAGGTCTAACACTACCCTTTGACCTTGACCTTTCTCTGGTTTGTTTCCTTCTTTGCCTAAAATTTTAAAATCTATAATATCTGCATGTTCTAGGACATAGCTTACCTAAATAAATTTGCATATTCACTGTATACGCCAAACTACAATCAGCCAAGGCCCAAATTTTTAATCCATATTTGTCCGGCTTACTCTTCATGTAAACCCGAAAAGGAGCCCTGCCTCGGAACGGAACTAACTGCTAATCCACGCACAAGTGTTCAGATGGATTTAAAGATTTCTTGCAATTAGATACAAAAACATCAAAGACATCTCTGATTGCGGCAAATTTATCAGTGCGTTTTCTTTCTTCTCTTGTTTCAAAATTGTCGAATCTTAGAAAGCACATAATTTGTTGGAATCTGTTGCGAGACATAGTAGATGATACCAAAGGTCGACATAAAGTTGGGTCTTGGCTCCATAATACGCATATTGGCTCTTTAGCAGCATGCCAGGCTCCAAAAATAATAAGCAAACCAATAAATGCTTCCAGTTCCTCTTGCACAAAAGGAGAAAAGCCTTCCCATTTCTTGCATAATATGATTCGGCTTTTCTATTCGTCTCCGATAAAATCACATTCATAATATCTTGTGAAAAAAATAGTTCAAAGGATTCTTTTATGCTGGAAAATTGGGAGCTATATCTCGTCAAACCTGTTGGACCAGTTTGTATATTACATTTTCTTCTCTTTGTCCTCGCAGTAAGTGGAACTTTTGCCCACACACTACCATCTTTAGAAGTATAAGTTGGATTGTCTGTATAAGTTATTGATTGGCCAACTACAGCTGAAGAATCTGCCAAATCATTCTCACTATCACTAACTTGCAAAACATCATCTATCTCATTAGTATCAGTCACTATATCAGTCTCTTCGATATCACTTGAACCATTTTCTAGTACCGAATCATTAAAATAATGGTCGTAAATATCCGTTTCTAATATCGCCAATAGTTCTTCGTCTGTTAGCTTATTTTCATTTCGAAATTTCGGTGGTTCACTCACTTTAATAAGCGCGTAGGCGACAATCACTACAAACGTAACGACACACACGAAACCTAAGATTATAATGCAATAATTGCGTGGACACGTTATACATAGCCGCTATTGGGATTCCCCGACAGTGTTGCCGTCACGATACTGGGAATCTCCGTCGTTTGAAAAATTTGGGGTTTATTTATACCCCAGTTAGTATTCAGCGTATGCAAAATATTTACCTATAGTTACATACCGAGCGGGGTGCAGCTGCACCCCAAGGAACAAAACTCACTATAACTTGTTACAATAAATCACAAATTGTTTAAAATTTTTTATACTATATTAGAAACATATTTGAGAAACATAACTCAAAGGAAATTAAATTAAAAAAAATATCTTAGAAAATAACACCAAAAATTGATGTCTGGGGTGCAACTGCACCCCGCTCGGGTTTATGAAGGTTAAAATTCAAATGATGGCCTGGTGCGATCATGGTGTAGTACAGGTCCGTTCAGGCTATTATTGCAACATGCTGTATATTAGAGGAAAAAATAAATAAACTGTGACCTGGAATATGGATAACTATAAAATACATGGTCATTTTGATCTGTACTGAAAAAGGCCACCGTGGTGGCCGAAACGTTAATAAAAAAATAATGTCTACACATGTGGTTTCATTTAGCTCAACGAATTCAGACTAGGTAGAAGGATTAGGAGTCAAGGATTTGCTTTCCCCTAAATCTCATAGCCTGTAGTGAGGATCAAAGTGCACTAGACATAAGTCACCTTTTTGACAGTTTTGTCATTAAATTTGTATTTTGTAGTGTTATTTTTTGGAAGCGCGTGAGCTTGCAAAAAACTGTGGTGTTGGACAATTCCAGAACATGGCACTTCATACATAATTTGCGAAGAGTGGCACAAGCCTAATGAAGGTAGATGTTTCCACCGGTAAGTATTATTGTTGATACAACGCTGCCACTTTGTGACGGATTGGTAGACATATGAGTCAAAAGTATGCACTGGAAATACGAGATTTTGGTAATAAAAATGCAACGTAAAAGTATAGACTTGGCTCGTAACCTATCCGATTTCGTTGATTTGGCATGAAAAGCAAGGAGTTCTATCAGCATTAAAACCACAAGATAGGTTTTAAATGTTAGATTCACATTTATATTTCAACGCAATCAACAATCATAGCTTCAAACCTTCCTGCATATTTTTGTAATTTAGTATGCAATGACAAACATTTTGTCGCCCCTAGGCGGGCAGCCGAAACATTAGTGAAGATCTTGTATATGTATTGCCCGTTACAATCAACGTTCGAACATGACATCAAACCAATAACTTATAATATTTGACAACAGAGAACACATATAGTTGCTGCGTGATTTTTGCATGCTGGCTTGCGGCATCTGATACAAACTTCTCTCGTCTTTCTGTCCTTCGTTCTAGGACAAAAATGACATCTTGCGCGTTTTCCTGTTGGAAGGAAAAACGGTCGGTTCTTAAACATGCCTATTGCACCTAAAACGTCACAAAACTTGTCATTCTCAAAACACACGTCAAATTAATAATGCCTTGTTTTTCGAAACGCCTCATTTCATAGCTTATTAAGAATTAAAGCATTTGGGTCTACTAGACGGACTTGTTATATTAACAAAACTGATGAACGTTTAGATGCTTTCTTATTACAATGGCCCAATTTCCACTAATACACTAGCACCATTTACTGTCATTCAATCATCAATTACATTGGTTCCTGTGACAACAGTTTGTAGTTCCGCCATTCTTGACTTTTCAACTTGACACGCACAGATTCGTACTGAAGTAACAAATTATTGAACGTCGAACATCGCTTTCACAACAAAGTTCCAACGATTCCCTTCGATTATGTATGAAGGGACACAACGGAATAGTTTCGCTTCTCTTCTAATCGATGTGCTTTCACTCAAGGGGTGCATCTTCAATCAGTGTTATCAACAGGATTGTGCAACTTTAGTATTATAACGATCAAAAAAAATAATACCTCAATACTGATTCAATATATTAATCTTTTTATTATAAATAGCAAACATTCAAGTTAAATTATAAACGGAAATTATGTAGAGAGCAATACCTCCACCTTCAACAGATATATATATATATATATATATATATATATTAAATATCAAGCGTCATCGTAGTTGATATCCCTTCTATGTAAATTCATCCACTTCCTATAAGGGTTATGTTTAGTACGTATATGGACCTTCAAGGCATCTTTTCGTTTTGTAATGTAATTGCAGTAATCCTCAGGACACGCGAATTGAGGGGCTTTGCCACATTCAAATTTTTGATGTTTGTGGAGGGATTGCCTGAATGAGTAGGACTTGCCGCACATCTCGCAACCAAATCGTCTGCCTAGAAAATATGATCGTATTATAACATACGCGATCTGAAATGGTATTGAATAGAAGTAATAATACCTTTTCCCCAATAAACAATGCATCTTCTGGTGACTGAGCGAATGTACATGGTAATCGAAAGATCCTCGCTGCTGGGACCAAGTAGGTCTGTGCAGTTAGACTAGAAATATCTAGGCCGTTAAAAAATGATGTGACATATGTTTTTCCACCAAACATTTTCGTTTTTCCACCAGTAGGTTAAAAAAAATGGAAATAAAAATCCTGAGCTATCTTCACGAAGCCCACATTTTTCAGATTATTTAAAACGAACATTACACGTAGTTTCTTCATCGTTTTACCACATTTTTCAACCAACAATTTTTGTTTTTCCGTCTTTCGGTTACAAAAAAATAACCAAGGACATGTGAAGTTACCCCAGCACACATGGATTTTCCATCCTTATACCTTGTTCTTCCATCCAAACTTTTTGTTTTCTGGCCTTTAAATAACGAAAAAATGTGAAATGATGTTTCGGGGACACTTGAGGTTAGCCTAGAAGTTTCTGTCAGGAATCCCCACGAATTCGTTTATTTGCAGCCTAAGACTTCTTTGTTTTCGTATTACCTTCTGTTTGTCTCCACAAAACAACCTTTTCGAACTGACTAATATGGAAAATTGTAAGCAAGAAGTTACTGTTACATGTAGATAGCCTGCAGTTACTCAGCTTTGTATACCTGTCCAGGCTACTTGGAAATCATCACAAATCGTTTTTCCATCATATCATTTCGATTTTCCATTCCATTTCATTTCCGTTTTCCGCTTTTGGCTAATGAGAAAAATTAAAAATAACAAATCAAGGCCACATGTAGATAAATAACCTCAATTAACTAAAACTTCTCGGATCATGTCCAGGCTACATGGAAATCATCGCGAATCACATGTGTCCCTAACTTCTTATTTTTAATTTTCCATATTATTAGACAGGTGGAAAAAGATGTTTTGTGGTGAAACAGAGTAGGTAGTTCGATAAATAAAAAAATCTTAGGTTGTAAAGAAACGAATTCGTGGGGATTTCCGTCACAGATTTATAGGTTAGAAAAACATGGTAAAACGATGGAAAATCTGCGTGTGCTCATTGTTTTTAATCTAACTGTCGGCTAACTTCACATGACGTTGGTTATTTTTTCGTGGATTTTCTCGTCATATAAACCTGAAAAACCCAAATTTTTATGGTGTTAAAATGGGGTAAAACGATGATCGTTTTGAATAATCTGGAAAATCTGGGCTACCTGAACTTAACCCAGAATTTTTTTCTCCAATTTTTTTAAGCCAATGGTGAAAAAACTAAAAATTTTGGTGGAAAATCTTATGGCACATCGTTTTTAACAGTCTTATGGGCTAACTTAATAGACCTGGACCAAATCGGTTGCAAAAAATGGAATTTCAAAATGTTTACAAAGGTTTAAAGATGTACACAAATATAGAACTTCGAAATAAACAATAGATATCCTCTACAGTATCACGTAATCCGCTTGCAAAGTATTTTCTACCCAATGTGGTCGAAATTTAGACATTCCTTGAGGATCCTTGGATTTAAAGAAACAATAACACTTCCTCAAGAAACGTTCAAGGGAGGCTTTGATATTTGCATTTCATAGTTGGTTGTAATAGTTATTATAGACTTTGTAATGCTACCAAAGTCTTTAGGTTTCAAAATTTTTAATACTTGGATAATTTTTAGGATATTTTCAAAATTTTTCGATACTTTTAAAATTTTAAAAATTTTCATGTATTTCAAATTTTTCAAACACTCAATTTTTTGTGATTTTTAAATCCTCAGATCTTTTCAATGTTCTGAAAAATTTTAATATTTTGAAGATTTTGAATGATCAGAAAAAATTAAAAATTTTGAATATGTAGCGAATTGAATATGAAAATCTTAGAAATTTTAAAAACCTGTTTTACAGCCTTCTGAAATGCAAATGTGATATCCTCCGTTGAACGTTTCAGAAGGAAATGTTATTGTTGTTTAAATTCCTCAAACGGCAATCAATCCTTAAGGAAATCTATAACCTATAAGTGTGCGGCTTATTTTCTAAGCTACTAACTATTTCTGGAAGATGTGTGCAAAAATCCAATATTCATAAGAAAAAATGAAATTGATGCTGCAGGACAAAAGACGAAACGTCATATTGAAATTCTAATTTTGCCAGCTTATAGAGAAGGAAAAACGGCAATGTTAATGTGCAATTTATTTTGAATTCCCACTACGAATAATTTCAGAGTAAAATTGTAACGAATTTGGAAAAATTCTGTTTTCCGTCTCTCTTCGGAAGTACTTTGAATTTCGAAACTTTCTAATCGGCATTTTGTTGGTCCTAAATACGAAACTGCTTCCATTTAAACGACTTCATATCTCTTACCGTTTCCGAGGTCCCAATGGTGAGGGTCGAATTTGAAACACCCGGTGTTTACATTCTTTGTCAGATCAGTTTTTGAACATTTCATTTGACTATTATAATAAAAGTTTCTCATTGAAAACCATAACAGTTTGAAAATTGTATATGCTATGTATTAAGAAGAAAATTTCAAATAAATGCATAATTAATAAATCTTGAAATATTCCCTTTTATTTTTCGTGAACTAGACATCTGAATCACAGGCAGCAGCGGTGGCCGCAGTAGTAGACTCTTCGATCTCCTGATCAGTCGCCGTGCGGTGTGCGGGTTCGAGACCCGTCCCAGGAGAAATTTTTCTCTTGGCTATGGATGTTGTGATTGTCCGTAGGTGGTAAACGGTCTCTGACTGTCGAACGTGGAGGTACCACCCGGCGGATATCGTAGGCGGAGCTAGAATGTGTGCAGAGTCCGTGTGGCGTTCCCCCTTTCCCCTGTATCCCCCTATAGCC